AAAAATGAAAGATTCAAAATGAACTGACTGTTCGTGTTACTCTTTATTTCCTTGTGACTGCATGTTATGTTAAATATGAATATTAAGCAATTATTGGATGAGGCTGAGCATGATATCAAGAATTATTCAGACCGGGGTCAATGTTATCTGCCGAAGCGAAGCTGAGGTGGATAACATAGACCGAGGCCTGAATAATTCTTGATATCATGCGAAAGCCGAATCCAATAATTGTTTTATTATACATTTAAAGACATGAGAAACGTATAAAACGATTCCTGTTCATGAGGCAGGAAAAGTACAATTCAAATATCAAACACCTTGCACAAAATCAAAGGTCAGCTAAATATTCTACTTCTATTTACCCCTTCGTGCTTTCACTATCCTTATCTGCCAATAATTTGGAGAGTTCACTTTCATTCAGCAAAGCAAATGTAGGCCATTGTTTTTTTGTTTTTTTTTGGGCGCTTATAGGTTCAAGCTTTGGCCGCGCAAGGGTTTGGGCACGAGAGAGTCAAATAATTTTTATTTTGGATGCAAGTTCGATCCAAAAAAACAATTATTGGACACTGATGACGTCATCGGCGGAAAATACGTAATAAATGCCGAATACTGAAAATTAGCCTGTGCTTTCTGACCAATTAGAAACGAGAATACATATTAAATGTATAATAAAACTAATTAGCTTTCCCTATATAATAAAGCATCTTTTCTGGGTGTGAGATATCGGCTTTAGAGCCCTTTATCATGTGACACATTTTCGAATTTATCAGTTGTATTAGATAACATAAGAGATCTTTATATACGCAAAGCATCGGTAACAAGATATAGGGCTCCAAAGCCGATATCTCAATCTTGATAACAGGGCCCAGTACTTTCTGGAAGGGGTGTATTATTCTGAAGTTTAACAGTGAATTTGTCTGATTCATCATCAACATGTATGCATGGTTATATATGTACTTATGAAACGTAACTATAAAACCAATGCTATATTCATTCCCGATTTCGAACCATTAAGATATAGATTTGATACGATTTAATGTCAACAAACTTTTATGATCATTTCACAACATTCTTCTCATGATTGAAGACAGTTAATTTTACCGAATAGATATTATGAAGCCATATTTAAATTCACATACTTCTTCGTAGACTGTCTATCGTACCTTAAATAGGTAAAATGCGGGCTGTCAAATAAGGTTTATCCCAAGGAGGACAAGGAATGAAATCGTCTTATAATATTATTAATAATAATTAACTTTTAATTTTTATACCGTAACTTGAACCATTATAACTTTAAATGTCTAGCTAAATACTGTATATTGGTGGGATAGGTTGTTGATTACGGGCATTTATACGCATTTGTATAGCTGTCCACAATGTTTATTAAAAAGTTGAAATAATTATAATGATCATTATTACCGTCAGAGCATCTCTTTTGAATGTTTCACAAATTCCATTGCTAATCATTATCAGGCCGGACAACTGGATACTATTTTTGCATTGCTACATGTATTGCTAAAAGAGCAGGACTCTTACTGACGCGAGATAGTATTTATCATCATGCATGCTAAAAAATGGACCCTTAAAGCGGATCTAATTAGGTTATTCTAATTGCCTCATCAAGCCAGAATGTGCCTTACATTGCCATCTTGTTCAGTCCAACTCCAGGCAATTTTACTTGTACTATACATGTACTATAAAAAGTTAATCCTTTAAGTTACATTGCGCCTAATGCGCCTTACTTATTATTCACCTACCAATTATTCACCTTTTGAATATTTTTAATTTCTCAATCATTCTAACTTATGATTAATTATCAGTTCTAACTTATAAATTTACGTGGTGTTTCCACAAACAATAGTATTATAACTTATGATTATTATGTTCTTTTATCCTAAAATTTATAAAGATTGTTATCTATTATTTATGTTTGACTGCATTAAACTCCTCCTGCACGCAACAACTCATTCACCATGCTGCTAACGAGAAGTCAACAAATACAATATGTAAGAGACTAAGTGATTGAAAAACATTACTTTGCTTCGAATTTTTCGGTTATTCTTGTAAACTTTTCTTCCTTCTGTGCACTTGAGCTGCGTTTGTAGCGGTTGGCGAGGACTGTTTTGATTTCATTTCTTCGCTGTCGTTATATATATATATATATATATATATATATATATATATATATATATATATATATATATATATATATATATATATATATATATATATATATATATATATATATACAGGGTGTCCCAAAAAAAACGAAAACTATTGAAATCACCAATAACAATTGATTGTTAGAATTAGAATGCCTTAGCACTCTGTTGGTTCCCACGAGTGCATAAATGATTGACATAAGTAAATTTTATGCATAAAGAAACTGTTTAAGAAGCTGTTTTTAATTCCCAGGAGCAGAAAATCGCGCACTTTGCCAGGAGGTATTCCTAACTAAATTCTAATACATGCGCCTTGTCAATATTTTACGCAACATTACGTCCAGCTGTTTGCAACTACAGACGGTACCGTTTCGGCCTTATGGGCCTCATCAGTGTAGTGCTGATGAGCAGGATCATAGATTAGGAAATGAATAGATGGCTCACTCCTTTGATGTTTTTGACGCTGCCGGCACCCACGCATGTTCTTGCCAGAGTAATGGCGGCCTAGCAAGTAACTTTAGTAAAATGCATTGTAAAATTGACATCGGTTCTACTAAATCCTTTATTTTTATAATTCTGATTTATTTTGCCATTAAACCCCACGAAAGCGGAAAAATACAGGATTTAGTAGCATGGATATCAATTTCACAATACATTTTATTATAGTTCTTGCTAGGCCGCCATTACTCTGGCAAGAACATGCGTGGGTGCCGGCAGCGTCAAAAACATCAAAGGAGTGAGCCATCTATTCATTTCTTAATCTATGGCAGGATGAAAGTAACTGCTATTTACAGTTACCTTTGATGCCTCACGATTGTGGGACATCAAAACCATGCCAGAGCGCTCAAACTGCAAGCATTGAGCGTGCGCAATGCGTAAGCGGCATGGCTCATCCTGTAGAGCGCTCAATATAACCTATATATATATATATATATATATATATATATATATATATATATATATATATATATATATATATATATATATATATATATATATGTTAATTGTGTAATTGTACACTCTGTAATATGTTAAGATGAAAATGTTCTAGAGTGTGTATTATATAATTTCCATACCCAGCGCAAGCAGAAAGATTTTGTCTGCCGCGGCTGGGTCTAAGGTCGCGGGTTCAAGACCCAGCCGCGGCAGACAACATCTTTCTGCTTGCGCTGGGTATGGAAATTATATAATACACACTCTAGAACAGTTTCATCTTAATATATATATATATATATATATATATATATATATATATATATATATATATATATATATATATATATATATATATATATATATATATTTATATATACACTTGGGTCGAAATGAATAAACGGAACTTATTCTTAAAAGACGGTTAATCTTTGAAACTTTTCTGCTCTTCTATGAAAACAGGGCCTGATACTTGGGCTATGTCGTCATATACTTTTGGGGCGAAATGAATAAACGGAACTTTATGTCAATCAAACTTATAGCCAACTCCAAGATTATGACTAGATACAGCACAAAAACAAAACACTTGTATCCAAGTTCTTTGTTCTGGAAAGCAGACTTGGTGTCCTCTTTCAAGTACTCATCCTGTTATCCTTGAATTAATCATTGAAAAATCTCAGACGTTCTTAACCTTGGACGGATTAGGAAGTGTGTAAATATTAGCTGCGTGCCCCTTTATTTCCTCTATAGTTTGTCAAGGGGAGAAAATTTTTATGTTTGTTTGTCCAGTGTAAGTTAATATTTATTGTAGGCACTTTCCATGGGGTTATTGCATGGAGAGGGAGGTTTAATAGAGAGGTGGAGTTAAGGTAAGGAAACAAAATGTATCGGCGTGAAATTAGCATCCACCGCAGGCATCTCTCTACTCAGTTGTCGTTTAGTGTATCTGTTTTACCGCTGGAGTACTCTCTATATTACATGTAGCCAATATTAAGATTAATTCGTCGTGAAAATATTTCGTTTCACTTAAGGTGAAAAGACTAGCTACCAATTTCCGTTGACCCGATAGCTCAATGGCTAGAGCGATGATCTAGAAACCCTAGATGCGAGTTCGAATCCCGCTCGAGACCAGTGAATGTAAAATGGCGTGTAGCATGCTAATGCAAATTTCGTGACATTTTCTAATCCTGGCCCCAATTCTGACTAATCCTGACCCCAATACCGTATGCCATTCCGCACGGCCGTTCCCCCCTTTCGTTCACGGACGCTCATCTGCAACTAAAAATACAAATTGGTTGCCGCTACTGAATTCGTGTTCCACAGTAAAAAAACTGAGCTGATATTGATTGTTATGTTCGTGAAAAAATAAAACAAAATATAATGCAAATCTAAATCTTTGATGCAAAATGAAATGCAACAATACGAAGTTATATTGCATCAGAGCGCAAATACATGTACGCTTACGTACCTACTTTTCTATCTTCGCAGTAGATATGATGATGTCGTGCAATGCTATCGTCTTGCTAACTGTAACCCATAGCCAATCAGTGACAGTTAAAATGACGTAATGTTAAAATGATTCAAATGACGTAATGTTTCCTTCAGTATATATATTATGATATAAAGATTATAAAATAGAGCTCTGAGCAGGCTACATAATAGCGACCTTAACTAGGACGGCGACGTGACAAAAATGGCGCGAAAAAACTGGAGCGAGGGAAAATTTTCCCGTCGCAAAATAATGTAAACAAACATTTAAGCAAGTGTTTGCTTTTGGTACGGGAACGTAATGGCTCTTCCGATCTCTAAATTTCAGCCGCTTACTCGAAGACGAATAAGCGTTTAAAATTTAGACTATCTTTACCAAATTTCGGAGTTTTGAGTGAGAAAACGTTTATAGGAGAAATGGCTTCATTTAGAGATGCTAGATTAATGTTACTAGACAGTTACGACGATGGTTTGATCGACGAAGAAGAGTTGCTTGTGTTATATGATTTAAATACATCGAAAAATCCTGTCTTTCCATACGAAAGTTATGAAAGATTTGAGTTGACCGACATGGATGAAGCCGAGTGTAAAGCAGAATTTCGTTTCGAGAAAAGCGACTTGCCTCAGCTAGCGGAGGCCCTAAGGATTCCACAAGAGTTTAAGTGTAAGCAAAGAACTGTTTGCGATGGGATGGAGGGATTGTGCATGCTTTTGAGAAGAATGGCCTACCCTTGCCGATACAGCGATCTGATCCCAAGATTTGGCAGACCAGTCCCCGAAGTATGCATGATTACAACTACAGTGGCAGACTTCGTCTACGAAAACCATGCTCACAGAATTACAGAGTTGAATGATGCCATTTTAAACCCAGAATCTCTTGAGCGCTATGCAGAAGCCATCCACTTGAAAGGTGCGGCATTGAACAATTGTTTTGGCTTTGTTGATGGCACTGTGCGACCAATATGCCGACCAAACGTCAATCAAAGACAGGTATATAACGAGCACAAAAGAGTCCATGCATTAAAATTTCAATCGGTTGCGATTCCAAATGGTTTGATTGCTAATTTGTATGGTCCTGTAGGTAAGTAAATATTTTCACACTTCACCATGCCAATTGTATTACAAATGTCCAAAAGGTGTGTGTGTGTGTGTGTGTGTGTGTGTGTGTGTGGGGGGGTATCCTTAGTCTAATGCTTGTTTGCAGGCACGACCCTTTCTATCAGTGACACAATGATTTAATCCATTAGTTGTCATTAGTGTGTGCACAGGACTCTTGGCAAGAATGTTGGACAGAGCAAAAAACCTATGCTAAAGCTAATCTATGCCCGACATATCTTATTCAGTGCAACATTAACCCACTGAGCCACAATTAGCCCCAATGGACCCTACTTATTTTTTTACTTGTCTAACGCCAGACAATTTTACTAGTCAATGGGGAGGCTCTGCAGTGCTAGCTTAATGGGTTAATGAGTAGTTAAGTCAATCTCTTTATTAACCAACAACCAAATTTGCAGAGGGAAAAAGACATGATGCAGCAATGCTTGTTGAGTCTGGTCTGCTGGATAGCTTACAACAACATGCTTTCTCAGGCACAGGCCAACCATTATGCATCTATGGAGATCCTGCTTATCCTCTTCGACTACATTTGCAAGCACCTTATAGACAAGCTGTGATGACACCACAAATGCAGGAATTCAATACTTCTATGAGTGCAGTGCGAACATCTGTGGATTGGCATTTTGGGAACATAATGAATTACTTCAAGTTTGTGGACTTCAAGAAGAATTTAAAAATTGGACTTTCATCAGTTGGCAAGATGTATGTAGTATGTGCAGTTTTGCGAAATGCTCTAACTTGTCTTTACCAGAATCAAACCTCCTACTATTTTAATTTAGAGCCACCAACTTTGCAAGAATATTTTAGATAATTAACAGAACAAATTACTGTACCTTATTGTATGGTGGCACAAATGTGAAAGTTAATCATCAGTTTTTATGAACATCATGACCCCCCCTTAATGATCCAAAGATTGAATCATTGAATATAAACTATAATTAACACAATAAAAAACACACGTTTTGGTTTTGTGGGAGAAGGGGTGTTTTGGGGGGAAGTACTCTGTGTTTATGTCAAACGAGATCCCTCCTCATCGTCACATACCTAATACTGTACTGAACTGATAATGCTAGTCAGGAGTAGCGACCCCCTGACGTATCTGACCAAGAGCACACTTGGACAGTCCCTAACCTACCCGCTTGGGCAGTCCCTAACCTGTCTAAGGTCCACAGAACCGCTTAGACAGTCCCTATTATTTGAAATATATATTTATATGTGACGTTACTAGATCCTATGGGAAATGAAGTTGACATATTGGAATACTTCTTCCCCGTAACCCAATGTTTATTTATTTATTACCAGTAAAGGAACCATAACAATTTTTATTATTTACCATATTGTAAAACTTGTGTCCATAGGCACTTTTACACCTTCACTTTGGAAAGCTTTTCATTTTGGAAAGCTTTACAGCAGGAAGCCATTGTTTCCTTATAATATGGTAATTATAATGAGATCCTTTTACCAACTACTATGTAGACAAGGTGTTGGAAGCAAATGCAGTAACCAAAGTGCAAGTAAGATGGGGTGGGTGGGTGGGATTTAAACTTTGTAACAAGGAGCTCGAAGGTAAATCCTTCAAAAGCTTTGAGCAAATAATGCCAAAAAATTGCGCGTGATGCATAGCTTATGCTCCTACTTGCTTTGTGATTGGCTGTTGGTTTTAGTTGGGATACGTAAAAGCTTTTCATTGGCTAAAAGCGTTTCTTTCATTAATATTCACGTGAACACAGTGCTGCTTCAAGAAAATAACCTTTGACCCACCAACAATACACGGAAATGTCGACTTGCACCTTTGTCATGCATTTGTCAATGAGGATAAGCTTGCAAAACACTTGCTTTCAACATGTTGTCTCATTAACTGAATTTAAACATTTTAAATTGGCTTTAATGATCCAAAGATTGAATCATTGAATATAAACTATAATTAACACAATAAAAAACACACGTTTTGGTTTTGTGGGAGAAGGGGTGTTTTGGGGGGAAGTACTCTGTGTTTATGTCAAACGACATCCCTCCTCATCGTCACATACCTAATACTGTACTGAACTGATAATGCTAGTCAGGAGTAGCGACCCCCTGACGTATCTGACCAAGAGCACACTTGGACAGTCCCTAACCTGCCCGCTTGGGCAGTCCCTAAGCTGTCTAAGGTCCACAGAATCGCTTAGACAGTCCCTATTATTTGAAATATATATTTATATGTGACGTTACTAGAGTCTATGGGAAATGAAGTTGACATATTGGAATACTTCTTCCCCAAAAACACGCGATAGAGTGTTCCCCATAGACGAAAACGCCCTTCCCCCCCCCTTTTTTTTTTTTTAAATTAAATGATGCAGTCATGGTGGCAGATACCTTTGACAGGGTAAAAGATGGAATACGAATGTATCGTTCATAGCAATCGGAAGACCACCGTCCTAGAGTTTTAATGAGCCATGCAGGCAAATTAGCTGAAGCTGCAGTTGTAGCGGCCCCAATTCGGTAGCTATGACCAGCATAGTGTGACGCATTAAAACCTGCTTGGTTTAATAAAATCCGAGTCTCAGCCGTTAAAGTTTGTTTGGTAAGAGGTTTTCCAGAAACATGAACAAAGAGTGGACCACCCGTTGTTTTTCTAACCAAGAGGTACTTCTTCATTGCCAAAACAGGACATAGGGGCGAGTTGGACGCGCCAACTGTGATTGTTTGACCCAAACGGAATGGGTCTGTTTGGGAGACTTTGATTTCCACTGTCATGAATTCGGGGTTGCCTTGACCCACCCCTGGAGCAAAATAAAGGTTTTCAAGCATGAGATGGACCTCGGGGTTGAATTTAGTGTTACATGTCAGTTCGCCTAGACGAAGAAATCCAAAAAAGGCCAAAGTCATGGCCGCCCAAATCATGAGGGACTCGTAATTTTGTGTTGATGGAATGGCAAGCATTAAGTGAAACAATCGCAAGTGATGAATTGTTATTGGTAAACGCACACGGGATTGGTCTCCATGGGAACGCTTTATGCCACGTAAGACCAGCTGCAGTTGTTGCATTTTTGGTAAATTTAGTCGAAGACCTCGGCGCATGTGCAAATGGCGAACAGCTGCCAGATAGGTTTTGATTGAAGCATATTTTATAGATTTGGCAAGAAAAGCCACAAATTCTGTCAAAATGGCTTCTGTTGCTGGTAGGCACTGTTCAAGTGATTGCTGTTTAAACATAGTTACGAAATCAATATAGCGTTTTTCACCAGCACTATAAGTTTGTTTTGTGGATGAAGCAATGGCTAAGTTGATGTAATGCTGAATGTCCCCTCTCAGATTATCAACAGTTGGCTGGGAATAGGGCATGGACTGGGATCTGCATGTGGTGCCAGTTTTCTGAATCTCTGCAGCAGACTGAATCTGTTTTACGTAGGAAGCTGGGATATCATGCGCGCCGTGTCCATACGGGGTGGCTGGTTCCGCTTGAGCAAACTGTGTTAAATCAACTGTGCTAACATCTGGAACTGCGCTGGGTTGACTACGAAGAACATCGGAGGAAGCACTCGGGATTTCTGTTAGAACTGCTGGATGGCTTTGTGCTGTCGACGAAGTCATAGCTTGGACAGCAGCCCGGGCGGCGTTCGTTGCTATTTCAGCGGCAGATCGTTCTACGCTTTCTGACACGATTGATCGAATCTGTGCGAGTTGTGCATCGTGTTGGTTTTAGTTGGGATACGTAAAAGCTTTTCATTGGCTAAAAGCGTTTCTTTCATTAATATTCACGTGAACACAGTGCTGCTTCAAGAAAATAACCTTTGACCCACCAACAATACACGGAAATGTCGACTTGCACCTTTGTCATGCAGTTGTCAATGAGGATAAGCTTGCAAAACACTTGCTTTCAACATGTTGTCTCATTAACTGAATTTAAACATTTTAAATTGGCTAAAAAGCTATTTTTACTGATTTTTGCCCAGCACTCTTGGGCAACTACATGTATCTTAGACAATGTTTTACTAAAAGATAAGGTACTTTGCAACTTAAAGCTGGTTTTCATTAGGCAGGATTTTGGGCGCAGAGCGGAATTTTTCTTTGTCTTGTGATTTCTCAGGTGGAACTAAGACAAAGGAAAATTCCACTCCGCGCCCAAAATTCTGCCTAATGAAACTGGCTTTATGAGTTCGCTTATGCATACCAACTGATTGGCAACAGATCATACATTTAGCAACCACAACAGTTAAGTTGCATTAGGTGCTTTGAGGAGACAAAATTTCTTACAACTGCATTATAACAACTTTATGATTTTATTGTCTTAAAAAGTTTTAATATAATTAATACAAAATAATTTAATATTTATAATGTTACAATGTATGTAAATAATTTTAAATAACTTTAATATTACAAAATAATTTATTACAAAAGATTAAAGGCATTAAATAAATATTTATTTTACGACATGTCCTTCCAGTTTTTCACAATTTTGTAAGTTAATAACATTATAAATCCTTTGAAAATTTGATTAAAGCTATAATACAGTTTAAAATGTCAATGATGTGAGTGATATATTTTTGAAATTACTGTATTTCCTCCATTTAGCCCGCATGCACCTTATTTTTTTCAGTCTTTCCAGTGGGGAGGCCGGAGGGCGGTCCGCTTGTTAGAGAGAAGGCCTGTTAGTAAGGGGGATAAACCTACCATATTTTAAATGAAAACTACTGTATATTACAATGCTATTGAACACAAGTAACTTGACTAAATGACAATTAATACGATATAATTCAATTCCCAAATCCATTACCGGAGTGGGGTGGGCATATTACAGCTTGAACGGCCAAACCGAGGCTGCTTTTGCATATTTTTGATGTTTTCAAACTAACCAAAACCAATCACCACCGGGTTATTTTGACTAAACATTTTCTGGTTGTGAACTTATGACATATATTCCATTGGTCTAAATAACCCTGCCAGTAGCGATTGGTTTTGGCTTAGTTTAAAAACATTAGAAAAGTGGCCTCAGTTTGCCTGTTCGAGCTGTAAGAGAAATGAGCCCCATGTTAGAAACTTTCTCTAGAGTGGTTATGGTAGCACTGGAAATTAAATGCATCCATGCCAGTTATTAACTCATCAATGTCAAAACCCACTCCCGAATTATGCCTTGACAGTTGCTCCATGCCTTGACAAATAAAATTGTGTGGTCTAAAGTAAAATAATTAAGTAAGAGGCATTATAACCCTTGTAATTCAACTATTTTTGCAATCAGTAAATAATTGCCAAAATCTTTCAAAAAATTTCGAGGTTTGCCTGGGCAATTTTTTTGCTCAGGCACACAATGAAATCACCTTAAATACCTTTGGCAACAAGTACACAATTAGATAGATTAGTGAACGGACGAGTTTGATGCTAAGAGGGGAGGGGGGGGGGGGGCTAACAGAGGATTTACAGTGTCAGAGTATTAAAACTAAAGATTATTTATTATTCAACATACCAAATAATTTCAGCATCAGTTCATTTTCCTGTGCCTGCTGCATTTGCATTTGTCGCTGTTGCTGCATCATCATAACCTGAAAGGTTTCCATTTGCTGTTGTTGTTGTTGTTGTTGTTGTTGTTGTTGTAGAGTCGTCATTAGTTCGTCATGTCTCTTACTTGCCGCCTCCATTCTCTTCTCCTCCATTGTCAGCTTTTTCTTTTCCACCTCCAACATCTTCTCGTGCTTTTCCCTCAAATAATTCACAGTATCACTACCATTGCTTCTCTTCTTCTTTGCTGGTGTCACTCCACTTTCTACACTCTTTCTTTTTTGTGTTTCCCCAAGATTCTCCATGGCTTTCTTCCTTATATCTTCTGCATTCATTCTGTCAGGTTCAATCGTAACTTTTCTTGATTTTCCCTCTTGACGAAGATCTTCAGCAGCATCCTCTTTTTCAATTTGTGCCTCCAATGCTTTCTCGACTTCACTCATCTCTGGAGCTATCCCACTTTCCTTCTCTTCCCTCTTTAACTTTCTCCTTAAGTTGGTTGACAGCAGATGGTACCGATCCCTTACAGCCCGATTATCGACTTTGAAGTGGACTCCTTCAACATTCGTTAAATTTTCCACCACCTGTGTCCATTTTGCACTTCTTTTTAATGTCCCCTTCTTTGTGCCACTGAAAACATCCACCCCTATTATTTCTCGGCACAGCATTTCATCATGTAATTCTGTCCAGATCATCTGGGTTGCTTTCTTAGTTCCAAAAAAATTATAAATAATAGTTGAAGTTAATTATTAAAAATAACAAATGCAATATGAATATATGTATAAAAAATGTAGAAGTGAGTAGATTTTAGCATTATATTATAGATTCTATGCTTTGTTTACATCGCAGCTAGTTAATATTTGAAATGGCACATTTTGCTAGCATACACTGTACAGCAAACTTCGAAAAAACACATAACAATACGAATATTAAGTATCGAACTATACGAGGAATTATATATATTTCTATATATTTGTGTCCTTTCGTCACACAGCAATACACTTGAAATATCCAGAAGTGTTTTGAGGTTTTACTGTAGTTGTCTCAAGCGAGGTCTCAAGATCACTTTTATACACCGTTGTCGACTCTGAATTCCAAGTTTTAGTATTAAAAACACCCTTCATAGTAGGCTAACTTTATTTTTCTTGTCACAACATATTTTGCATATAAAGTAGGTTGTAAACAATCAGTTGTACCCACTTGGCCTGCGCGGTTTGTGTTGATCCCGTGACGGCTTGCATGTCTTGACCTTTTGACCTTATTCAGATTATAATTAAATTGAAATTAGTACTAAACAATACAAAACATGTTTACATTTTAACAAAAAAAAGGATTTTCCAACAAAATATATTCTGTTTGTGGAACTTACCTGAGTTAAAAGCACTATTTTGTGGAAAAAACTTCCTTCACTTTGGCAAATCTACTACGACGGGAAAAAGTATCAACTCCCGTTGTAAACTGCGACGGCGACGGGAGAAATGCAAGCAAAACCTAGTGTCCAGACTCTTCCCACTTCCGGCCGAGCGTCCCCGTCGTAAAACAGCGCTAGCTTAAGGACGCTAATAGTTGGAGGGGAGGACTATACTTCCGTTCGTCAACGAAGTGAAGCCAAAAACATGGCAACGTAGTTACCACTGACCAGGCTTAATTTTGAGCCCACTACAGTTTTCACACCCATTCAACGTAAACTGGAATGATAAGTCGGAGGGGGGGGGGGAGGTATTGAAGCCGTGCTTTGTAGGCAGTGGCAGTCCCTTCTTGCAAATTTTTTTGAAAAAATACCGCACTTTTAATACCGATAAATTCTACACCTTTAATTTCTTTATTTTCCGGCTGATAATTTCAGCAGATATAGAATAAACGTTATTCCGAATAAGGAGTGCATAAAAATATATAACACACAATTTATAAAAACTGTATATGTTATGTTGTCTCAACATTACGAACGTGCAGATTAGGACAAGAGTACCAACAACTAAACTAAACTTGTTTACGGACACGAAAGCCAAAGTACCTAAACAAAACAAATCTAACGTTGTATTTGAATTTACATGTCCTAAGTGTAACAACAGCTACATATAGGCAAGACTGACCGAATGCTTCTGGAACGAGTGAAGGAATTAACATGCATACAAAGACAAGGGAAGTGCTGTGTACAAACACTTAGACTGCTGCTACGACAGAACATTCTTGACATCACAATCAAACACACAACTGACGGAACTTTACTAAGGTCATTGATTCTTCCTGAAACTGGAATTTATTACTATACAAAGAAGCGCTACATATTTTTCAGGGCTCCACTGAAAATCACTTTTGTGAGAGGACCCCCTGACTAAATATTGTCTATAGTGGACTATATGGTGGACTAAAGGCTAGTAGAGAGCCTGGTAGAGCGTTACACTGATTACTTAATTGATTGAAAATCTGCTGAATGAAAGAACTATGTGAACTGATCACAAATAGAACGTTAATTGTTGCTTATATGCACTTTTGCGCACGCTAGCTTGTTTGAAAATTGCTTACGCTTGTAACATAACGACATATCTTGCAAACGGAAGATGAATCAAACTTGATTCGAAATATACAGTTTTTATAAATTGTGTATTATTATTATGCACTCCTTATTCGGAATAACTTTGATTCTACAAGGCTTTGATATTTACAAATGTGTACGGCGATATATAATATGGTCTTTAAAGAACTAACTTGTGTAATTAATAACGTTAAAAAGGCTGACTCCTGAGACCCGATCGCGCGTTTTCGTTTTGCAACCAGACATGCAACTATATGATATGTATAAAGTTGGGGTGCCGGAAGCTGATCCAGGATATTTCTTGATTTTTGTGCTATTATAGACGCATGAAATAAATTGCACTTCTCCTTAAGCAGAGGTGTGTGCCAAGGTGTGCGTGTGTGATTGCACCTCATTCCCAGGATGGCCTGTTCTCGGATAGGTTTTCTCAGTAATTTATTTATTTATTTAATTTATTTATTTAATAACTTTGCCGTAACATCAATTACAAATTCTGGCAGGGTTCCCACAACAGCATAACGCCAATTATTATTATTATTATTATTATTATTATTACTGTGGAAATCTACTAATACTCATACTAATATCCAATACGACTTTTATAACTCAACCAAAGAAGTGCTTAAAGACTTTCGGTCTGAACATGAAGATAAACTCCAAAATCAATTAACTTGTCAGGGATCCTTTTTCTCTAGTGTAACAAAGTTCTCCTTGTCGCATCTTAGCAAAGTGTGGTCTACTGCTCAATCAAAACTTCCGAAAAACATTTATAACTTTACCATACGCTATATCAATAACTCTCTTCCGACACGTAAGAACCTTAGCATATGGGGATTGTCTTCAAGTTCAGAATGCTCCTTTTGTCTTGGCCCAGAATCATTATTGCACGTGGTCGCTGGATGTCAGTGTTATCTCGATCGATTTACGTGGAGACACAATTCAATCTTGAACTTCCTTGCCAATACCTTGCAAACTGTGAACGGTTCTGCCCTCTACGCTGATGTGCCTGGATTCAAAAGTCCTTCAATAATAACTGGTGATACGTATCGCCCGGATTTGTTGCTATCGTTATCAAATGGCTCTCTTTATGTGGTCGAGCTCACTGTTGGCTATGAGACAAACCTCGAGAACAACGTTAATCGGAAAAAAGCCAAATATAAAGAACTAGTAAAACAACTAGACGAAAATTTTAACGAAGTAAACTTTATAAATCTTTCTATGAGCTCCCTAGGTATTTTTGCGCAAGAATGCTCTACATTCTTAGAAATGTTAGGAAATGTTGGTCTGGACAACAACTACCAAACGTACTGTGTTAGGAAAATGATGACTATTGCCATTCGAAGTACATACTATATTTTTTGCTGCCGAAATAAGGAATGGGAAAGTCCGGACTTGTTAACTATTTGAAATATCTGATTGTCTTGTATATTTATATATTTTCATGTATTCTGTCTTATCATTTTTATTAGTTCATATAGTTGTGATTCAAATAGCCAATTGTAAGTTACCTTAAATTAGTGAGATTTACAATTGTATATATATAGTATATAACAAAACTATTAAAGTTTCCATTATTATTATTATTATTATTATTATTATTATTATTATTATTATTATTATTATTATTATTATTATTATTATTATTATTATTATTATTATTATTATTATTATTATTATTATTATTATTATTATTATTATTATTAGGGGCTTCGGTGGCCAAGTGGTTGGCGCACTTGCCTTTCACCTCTGAGGCTGCAGGTTCGAGTCTCACTAAGTACCTTCTCAGTGCGACTCGAACCCAGTCCCCATGTGAAAAGAGTAAAAGTCAACGCTCTGCCGAAAGCCGTGGGTTTTCCCCGGGTACTCCGGTTTCCTCCCACAGGGAAAGTTGACAGGGTGGGTTAGGTAAAAAAGGGCCCACAGTAATTGGCATATGCTGTTGTGGTGACCCTGCCCTAGTTGGCAAAGCTAAATAAATAAATAAATAAATAAATAAATTACTGCGGGCCCAAGTAGAATGAATTGAAGTAGTTGAATAAACGATGTACCTTATAAGTGCACCTATAGCTCTGATGCCCCTGGTTAAATTAAAAGCTTGGGAGTTAGGTCACATTCTTTCGGTTACCTTGATGATATACCTCCTAATCACATTACTTGTGCAGTGGACAAATTTTGAACAACCTGTACTAGTTAAAATATGAGCAGCTTATCTTTATGGCCATTCATATTCCAGAGTATTGTAGTAGAGTCATACGAGTACGACCCCAACGCAAATAATGTTCCACTGTGCGACAGAGCCAATACATATTGCAATTCTTTGCCTGCTTATGCAAATAGGTAGATTATAGGTATTTGAACAGGGTAATAGATCTTTTTACATCGCACTTATCAAAACGTCGCATTTACAACGCGTTCACATGAGGACAGGCAGACACTGGGGAGGGGGAGCATCTGGCCACGCCTGCGCCCTAATCTTACCCTGAGTAACCTAAATCTTACTCTGGGGAGCCCACACTGGGCCCTAATCTTGGTTTCGGCTCCAACTGTAAAACGTTTAAAATATGCACCGCATGAGGAATGCGTGCGTGCTCATTGAGACTTAAGGCTGATTTCCACTGTTGCATTTTTCGTACGCACGTACACGCACGTAAAACTTTGAACACTTCTTTTTTTTAGATATTTTACAAATAAGTTAACAAATGCATACTAAAAATTTGCGAAACACTAAATTTTGTTGCTTTATTTATTTGGTTATTTCATAAGTAACATTTAAACGGATTTAAAGTTTTACGTGCGTATACGTACGTATGAAAAACGCGACAGTGGAAATCAGCCTTTACACGCGTAAAAATCTTACCGTTCCGTCAACAAGATGTCTTCGTACGGCTTGTTCCCAGTTGTTGACAAGTCCGCCTCATCAGTCTTGTAACAAGACTGACGAGGCCAACAAACTCGCAGCAAGTTGTTCCAACAAATCTGATGTTAAAAAGTTACTATAATCATCCTTGCAACATGCAAGGAACAAGCAGTGCGAAACACATTCTGATATCGGCTTGACAACAACCTTGTTACAACTCGTTTCCAGATCTGCAACAACCTGCGGGTTTTTACGTGTATAGTCAGAGCTTGCGGTCGACCGTTAACTAAGCGCTTAATGGAGCGACGCGCAGCACTCATCTGGGAAACAGGCGAAACATTGCTCCTGGAAGGATCAAAGAGCCTAGCTGGTGGTATAGGTGAAATAACATGCTGCCTTCCCAAATCGGTAAAATTGTTAATAACAAATTGACACCCACTTCGACAGCTCTTGTCAAAAACTATATCCGCAACCCCTTCAACCTCCTCCCCAGTAAACCTATCCCTGGTTTGTTTTTCACTTCACAATACAGCTACATACCTGTTTCTAGTTCATAAATCTTGGTGAAACTGTTTCCCAAAGCAGAAATGACAATGGTACCAGTTGCACTATAACAGACGTAGCTAATGAATGTACGGTATCATTTAATGTATACAAATAACAACAGTTAAAACTGCTAAAGCATGCGTAATATAAAGATATAATTTATATCATCAATGTAATATCGTTATAAGTTGATGGTTGACGGTTTTAAAAACAGGGAAGTAAATTGAAGTGATGGGTGTGCTGGTGGCACAGTGGTTAGTGCATGCGTGGCTTTCACATTTGAGAGTGGTCTTCGATTCCTTTAGTGTGCAGTTGTCTCATAACACATCCTCTTTGATTGAATATGAGAATAGTTCTTTGTTTTCTCCAGAACGTCGGTAGCATTTCTTGGGTTGTCTCCAGAACATCGACATGGCAGGCAATTCAAGGTGAGGTTCATTTTTTTTTTAATACCTGGCAGTTACAAACCAATAGGTTCCGGGTTTTTATCGACGACGACGTCGGCAGATAGTTAACAACAATATGAGAAGCTTAATTTCGTGCGAGGGCGCGCGTTTCCAGGAAACGAAATCCGATATTAGGCAGGGAAAGTTCGTCTGTTTCACTTTTTGTTTAAGCCACTTGAAGCCAGTCGAAGAAGTACAGGTGATAAGTTCTTGAAATAATAATATTTATTGCCTTGAAATTTTGAGGAAATACCTCACGGCCATTTTCTGTTTACGCACTGGCCACGAGGTGTTTCCAAGAACAAGCACTGGACATTAGTTAGTGTATCTGTGGCTCGAAGGTTTGCTCGTACAAAGTCTAAGAGCAGATCATTGCCCTGAAATTCAGGTCGTGAAAGAAATCGTTAAAGAGTGTTCATGTATATTGGCCTGATTTCTACCAGTAACGAATGACGGGACTTGGGCGAAGAAAAACTGGTTCGTCTGATAATTTCTTACTGTTTAGTTGGAAAATCGAGAGGAATGAACTTGAAACGCCATCGTTTTGCGCGTTGCTATCCGTGATAATGAAAATAGGCGTTTTGTAGCAATCATGAATCAACATTGCAACAATAATCAACAATGAAACCACATGAAGCAATAATCCCTTTGCAGTTCTGTTACAGAGGAATAAGTTCTTACAATCTTAAAGAAGAAGAAATATTAGCTTTCGAATTAAAGGATTAATTGTGCTACGCTTGCTTCCACAAGAACTGATTTGTTGCACGCGCCCGGTGAAACGAGGATGAAAGTTGATGAGAGTTGCCAGTCATGCATTGTTACGGGGGACATTTCAAGCTCTAGATTGACAAATAAAGGTTTGAATGATGAATGTTCCAACACTGTTTACCTAAAATAATGACAGTTTTAACAATGACATGTAATTTAAGCCCAGATCAACGAGAATGAGAGTTGATGAGAGTTGCCAGTGCATTGTTACGGGGGACATTTCAAGCTCTAGATTGACAAAATAAAGGTTTGAATGATGAATGTTCCAACACTGTTTACCTAAAATAATGACAGTTTTAACAATGACATGTAATTTAAGCCCAGATCAACGAGAATGAGAGTTGATGAGAGTTGCCAGTCATGCATTGTTACGGGGACATTTCAAGCTCTAGATTGACAAAATAAAGGTTTGAATGATGAATGTTCCAACACTGTTTACCTAAAATAATGACAGTTTTAACAATGACATGTAATTTAAGCCCAGATCAACGAGAATGAGAGTTGATGAGAGTTGCCAGTCATGCATTGTTACGGGGGACATTTCAAGCTCTAGATTGACAAAATAAAGGTTTGAATGATGAATGTTCCAACAATGTTTACCTAAAATAATGACAGTTTTAACAATGACATGTAATTTAAGCCCAGATCAACGAGAATGAGAGTTGATGAGAGTTGCCAGTCATGCATTGTTACGGGGGACATTTTATAATCTCTATAGTTAACAAAATAAAGGTTTGATGAGTGTTCCAACTATGTTTAAACTTAAATAACATACATGATAGTGTTGGGAAAACATTAAGAATAGCTAACCAAGGTCACGTGACTGCCATCTTAACTTTCATGGCTCCCATCCTCGTTTCATCTGGGCTTAATTACAGCAGTCCGCCGACTATTTTGCCAAATATAAAATCACAAACATACACCTTTAATGTAAATCTGTTTTCGGAGAATCAGACTACCGAAACGACAAACAATTTAACAGAACGAATTGCGAGTTCTGGGGTTAGTTTTGACTGGATACTTGAACAACAATACTGCATGCAAACTTGCGTTTCCTAATGTAATCGGCCATAAACTTCAGTGGGTCTTCTTAATGAATGTAAACGGCTACGATATGTTTTCGTTTCGTAGACATATTGTTTGGCGTTCAAAATATTTCATTTAGAAAGCGTGAAACATTATTCCTCTTAGTTACAGGGTTAGTTTTTATGCAGGATTACAGAGCCCATATCAGTGATATCACGCCACGGAATAAATAACGGCACGGCTTTTTACATTCAAGATTTTGGGAATTTCGCTCGATAGAACTGTAAGAGTTGACGGGTTTTTGTAGATGGAAATTTCGAATGAAAGCCACTACTGGGTAGCGCTCTAACCAACTCTTCGTTCTATCGAGTGAGATGCACAAAATCTTCACACTTATACTCTGTAGCTCAGTTGGTTAGAGCGCTACACCGGAATCGCAGGGCCGCAGGTTCGATCCCTACCACAAGGCTTATATAGTTCATTCAGGGGCGGCGCTACAGGGGTGTGTGTATGTGGGGGGGGGGGGAACACCCCCCACTCGTCAGCTAATCGGCAAATTGTTATCTCAGTCGGCAAAACTGGATTGGCTGAAGATAACCACTGAAGAAACCAAATTTGACCTCCTGAATAATTGAATTCAAACCGAATATCACGAATAGCATGCATCAAAGAAACCACACATGCAGCAATGCAAATTTTTTCGAATACAGTATCTTCACTTCTGGCAGCTAGTCCAAAAACATAATATTATTGAAATCATAATTAGGTAATTAAATTTGTTTGGTGGTGGTGGTGGTGGTTGTTGTTGTTGTTGCTTATTATACTGTTCTATAAAAGAGGCAATAAAGTCGGTTTTCCACGAGCGAATTTTCTCGCACGAAGCGACCTTTTTCCTTTGTCGGTATCACTTATTACGTCAGCAAGACGTGGCAAAATCAGTCCTCGAAAACGAAGTTGGCATTCGGCAATGCCGTGCAAATGCAAATTTTTGCCCACCTTAATTCAACCAAAGTAAGAATTTTTATGCTGATAGGTTTTAAAATGTCAGCGATTATAGAATTCGATTCGTAGTTCGATTAACTGAACACACTACGGTGTAAGGTTTAAAAACTGACGGGTATTGTGTATTGTGTGTATACGTTAGATGTTTGAAGATCAAATTTCGCGCGTCTGGAGTTAAAATTTGGCTCCAACTTTCGAATTTTCCGGCTGGAGGTAACGTTCCAGTTATATTCCGATTTCAACGATTCGTAAATGCGTGATTAATAGTGCTCCAAGACGTGGAACAGATTTTAAGAAATGCCGAGATTTTGACTTTTCGAGGGTTGCAAAATTGATGCCGACAGGAATTTTGGGTTTTCTGATTATGCGTGTCTCAGAATGATGCAAATGCCATTTCCGGGATTCAAATTTAAAAATTTTCCGTGCCTTGGGCACGTGCCTCCCCCCCCCCCAATATTTCATAAAATGTCCGCCACTTGCACACACGGTGGCTTAAAAGGTCTTTTAAGACCTTATTACAGTTTTAAAAAACTGTTTATTCTACCGATAAATAAAAGGTTTTTTTATTGACTGGGATTTCAATAACTCGGACTGGGATTTCTAATAAATATCCAACTGGGACTGAGATTTAGCCAAAATTTCAGGTGGAAAATGGGATTGGGACCCCCCCCCCCCTTCAGGACCCTCACTATAGGCTAATGACTCGGCAAAATTACCAAACAACAGTCAGCAAAAGATCACTCACACCCCCCCCCACTCGAAGAGGGTTAGCGCCGCCCCTGGGCAGCACCTGTTGAAGTCCGGAAAATGAAGACAAACTTCATGAGGCAATATCCCAATGCAACCTTATCTAAGTTCGACTTTAATGTTACCTTTGCCAAGGATGGAACCGTGGATTCCTGGGACATCTTCTATAAGGTGGATGATCTCACAAGCTATGATATTACATCCGACACATTCCGCACAAATCCGGAGTGGACCAAGTACCTATACTGGGTAGAGGGATGGCGAAGTGTTCTTCCGGATGCGATCTTCCGCCCAAATAAGGATTTCAAAATGGATGTGCATACCTTTAAGGTTTATGTTACGGAGACCGGGAATTTCCTGACAAAATTGGAGCCTATTAAAACATCATACGATAAACCACCCGAAACCTTTATCAACACTGTACCTTGCGATTACCATTCCAGTTCCTACTTTTGCTCCCTAGCAGCATGCTATGTTGTTATATTTAGGTCCGGAATTTCCAAGGACCACCTTATAAACAATTTTCCCAATTCACACTCCATAAAACCCTTATTCCCAAAACATCCCGGGGACTTACCAAAGTTGGACAAAAATTATTCTGGGGGCACAAGCCAAAACCCGATGGAGTATCACAGGTCAGGGCGCAAAGAGTTTGCAGACACAGGAGGTTTTCCGGAAGGTGGTAAGACGATGTGACAGTTATCATTTCCGACATGAGGACGGCTATTGCCAATACACACGTCGTCCTAAATTTTGCAGTTATGCCGGGTTTAATCCTAATCCCCTCTGACCTAAGAATTTTAGCAAAACCTATCCCAGGGTTCAGCAATGTCCTAACGATAGCTAAAAACGGGATGACGTTCGGAAAGAATGAGAAGGTGAATTATACAAGTAATCCCATTCCTACTCCCACGAACGATGTAGACGAAAGCCATGACATTACACCGGTTCCTGTTGTGCAGGACTTCAAACCTCCAGAATTAAGGAAGAAGTCTGATGCTCAGAATATTGCTCTTGGGACAGCGGCAGCGGCGTTCTTTGGACTTGCATACCTAGTATTTCGACGTTAAATAAAATGAGCATCTTATTCGGATACGATTACTTTGATACGACGGCAGAAGACCTAAACATCTTAAGACAAAAGCTGACAACAGTCGAAAAGACACAGCAGGGGAACACGGCAGAGATTGTCAAACATACAAACGACATTGTAAGACTGAATAGCCTTGGAAGGAATTGCGTACAGTACGACCCTATCGAATTACCCTACATCCCCGGATTTTATAAGTCCTCAGCCATTTCGGACGATGATAAGAAGAATGCAAAATTTATGGTCTTTAAAGTGGATGGATTCGAGATAAATTTTTCGACGCCGTTTCCACCGTACGGATTCTACGAAGGAAGTATAGGAACAGTGGTTATGTTTACGGTCACTCAAAGAAGTTCTATCGTCCGCATATCCTTAGGTGCATATGTAAGTCTTAACGGTCTCGAATACAAAAACATAGATTCCGCCGGAAATGCAACTACCAGAAGTGAGGCTACAACCATAAGCTGCTTCCTCATGACAACATAAAGTTTTAAATCCAAATGGTAGGATTTAAAATATTCGTGTTAATCCATAGGCTCCCCCAACCCCAAGGACGCCCACCGTCAACATTGCGTATATTTTCATCTCATCCGATGGTTGGTAGTAGTCCTCCAATTTCGGTCTGCGTTGGAATTCCGTACTATCCATGAGCCTCGTATAATCCCTCAGGTCTTCCAATGCCGTGTTTGTTTCCTCGATATCTTTGTTAGCATCCAGGATCTCGGCCCTCCGTCTCGCCTCGTCGTTCCTGCTCTTCACTTCGGATTCGTAAAACTTCTCCTTGGCTTTTGCAAGCTTCTCTAAGGCTTGGTTATGTCTTTTTACCTCTTCCTTGTAGCCTTGTCTTCAACCTGGAAAATAGGAAGCCGGCCCTGGCAAAGGCCACGACATTAAAGAGTCCTCCGACTACAACAGATGTCATCCTCTTATTTGTCAATCATTTTTGGGATGTATCCCTTATCCTTAAGGTACCCTATGGTGAATGCGCTTCCAGCTACGGCAACGGCAAGCTTTGCCGCTCCTTCTAGGGTCATCGGTGCACCCTGGCTTTTTCCGGCAACCGTTTTGGCAAGGTAGGATACCCCAACGACTCCGGTTGTCAATAGTGCCGCATCGTACAGTTCGTTGATCACTTCCTTTTTCGTGTCGGTCATTATGTTTTATTATAGCAGAACTATTTATCCTTTAGCTTCTCTTCTAGGATTAGGGAAAATTTTCTTTCCAGGTTGTCGAGCATCCTGTCTTCGCTTTCTTTGCGTTTGGCTTCTTCCGCCTCAAGCGTATGGATGTGAATCAGTGCAGCACCGGCTGCTATGGAGAAGGTTCGTATGTCCAGAAATAATTGTGGCATTGTTTTATTATACTCTGCAGTCAAACAAGTCAGGACCTTTCGGTGTGATAACAACAGGTTTCGGCTCCTCTACAATCTTATTTTCCTCGGGTTTTTCATCCTTCTTCTGAATACTGTTCCACGTGAAGTAAAGATTAAGGGATCCGAACCCTACGGCTATACCCACTACCAGGCCGACTCTTTCTAGGGTGACTATTGACCCATTATTTTCGGATTTTTCGGTCAGAACGTTCTGCTCCTCTTCCTTGATAGCTTCGAGTTGTGCTTTCTTCCTTGCTTTCGCTTCCCTACTGATCTTAGCAAGCCTACACCCCGCCTCCACCCTTCTTGGATCCTTGACGCGGGTCTTTACAGGATTTGCGACGGGCACTGCTGTCGTATCTGGGTTTTCTTCAGACATGGTTCCTTTTTATTTATAGTAGGACTTAACTAACTTGCGAATGGTGTTAAATCTAGTCAGGGGTATCTCACGAGTAGATCTTAGTTAACTTGCAAGTAGATCTGAGTTAACTTGCAAGTAGATCTGAGTTAACTTGTGAGTAATCTCAAGTCTGGTCAGAAGTCCCTCAAATTCAGAATCAACAGTTTATAGACAAGACTTCCTACATATAAACAAAGTAAACATGGAACGACCGGTCATAAGGAGGAAACGTAAGCATGGACTACTGTATTCATTGACTGTCACGAAAAAGTACCACGGATCGAAAGGATGTGTAAAAGGGTCAATTATGAGGACATGATGTTTATTTTAGAAAAACTCGATCACGAAAATAGAAAATTGATAAGGTACGGTTTTAAGCTTGGAAGTGGGTCAATGGGAAAAAACGCTGAAATACGTAAGGTAATGGGTAGGGGAGGAGGGTATACTAGTTATCGCTAATATCGACTGGCGTACCGTAAACATCAAAAGATGTTACATCAGAAACACACAGGAAAAGGGAGAAGTGATCAATCTGGGTCCTGCTGATTTCCTTACTCCCGAAAACTATAAAGGAAGGAAGCTAAGCGAAATGGGAGTTGTCCTACTAGGACCCGCTCAGGCTGCCAAACCGAAGTGAGGCAATTGCGGACTCTGCGTTCCGGAGGCGAAATCAACAACCTATCTATAGGCAAGGCCTCCTATATAAACAAAGGAACCATGGAACGACCAGTCATAAGGAAACGCAGGCAAGGATTATTCATCGACTGCTCCCACGAAAAAGTGTTACAGGTCGAAAGGATGTGCAAAAGGGTTAATTATGGGGATATGATGTTTATCGTAGAAGCCATCGGAAACGTGCCAACAAGGTTCGGCTTAAATTCGGAAACGGGTTAATGGGAAAGAACGCTGAAATACGCAAGCTAACGCCAGGCATCGTATGGGAAGGAGAGGATGGTATACTAGTTATTGCTAATATCGGTATTAAAACCATTGCACATGAAACATGCTACATCAAAAACACAAAGGAAAAGGGAGACGTGATCAACCTGGGGGGGGGGGGTGCCGATTTTATTAGCGACGGCACCTATAGGGGGAAAAAGATAGGTGAGATAGGAGTTGCCCTATTAGGACCTGATTAGGTTCCAGAATTCAGACAACGTAACTGCGGATCCTCTGCCTAAAAGTGAGCATTTTCAGCCCCAAAACAGCGTTTTTACCCCAAAATAGGATGTTTCTACCTCAAAATAGGGTGTCCCCATGTATTTTCATACGTCCCCATGTTAAAATCTAGCCAGGTAGTGACCTGGTGGGGTTTTAAACCATAGGTCGCAGGTGCGGACTATCCGTTCCACAAACAGAATCAACTTTTCCAAAATAAGTCTTATACAATAAAAGAGACATTTCCCCATACGTCCGGATTTCCGGAAGACTTGGAAGAATTCATTGCTTTTTCAAACCTTTTAGGTCTGGAAAACAGAATCAACCCCAAAACCACCTTATAGATAAACTTTTCTATATAATAAAAGCAATGAATACTTTTAATCGAAGTATTCCAATTTCGGACAGAAAATTCGATTCTATCAAACGGATGAGAACTAACGTTCTGGAGAAGGCCAAGGAGAGAGGTTTAGAAATAGAAGGGAAAATTAACAACCATTTCGACGAACTTCTCAAGAAGGAGAAGAGGAAAATAGTCGGAAAGGAAGTTAAATCGGCAGCAAGACAGTTCCGGAAACGTAGAAAGCAAACCGAGGCCGACGCATAAAGGGAAATAAGGGACGCGAAGAAATGGAAGAACGACATCGCCAAAGAAGAGAAAAGACGGCGGAGAGAGGTTACGGACTGGAAAGCCGAAGCCCAGAAGTGGAAAAAGGAGACCCAGCGCCTGCGACGGAAAGCAAAGGCCCGCGAAAGACGGGTCGAGGAGAACCGTAGGATCGCAGAGGGTAAATGGAAAGGCAAGAAAACGTTCGCCAGACTCCAACTGAAGGTGGGTGACAAGCTTAGCAAAATCTGGGAAAAATCGAGGGAAATCGTGGAACCCGTCCTAGCCAAGCACGCCATCAAGAAAAAGGTCAAAAAGTACGTCATCACCCCAAACGGTAACTACGACCCATCCTACTCCCTAACCATGACGGAATATGAGGTTAAAACACTCATAAACTCCGAAACGGAACCAAGGAACGTAAGGATGTCCCTAGCCTGCGAAATGGTAAGGAACGATCCGAAAACTGGGGAAGAAGTGTCAACCGTCGCTCACTTCGGATCGAAGAACCACAAACTTATTGGAACGGACGACACGGAGGAAACCCAGGGCATCATGAGGGAAAAGATGCTAAAGTCCTTTTCGGAATATCAGAGGAGGGGCAGTGGATGGAGACTACGAAGATTTACCCAGCTGGAAATCCACACCGGAGAATTCCGACCACTTAGGGACCAGTCATTATTAATGCCGGGTAGCGGGCCGGAGGAAATTTAGAGGGGGCACAAAACATTTTTGACCAGTAAAGGGGGGGAGGGGCAGAAAATATTTTGGACATAAAGGGGGGGGGGGCAAAAAATAAAATCTATGGATTAGTTTGTAACATGTAATATCAAAAGAGTAATGGATATATACAGTATACATACATGCATTGAACAGTAATGACCAATATATTGGACCTAAAAGTTGTGTTATAGCTACTTTATATGGAAATTGTTATCCTCATCATCACCGTAGAATTTGTCTTAATGGTCATGCACTGCATTTGCAAATGCAAGATTCAATTGACAGTTGTTGTCCTGTTTTACGCTTTATAACACAATGGACCTCTATGGCATGTTCTGTTTCTGCATGTTGTTGACAGTCTCTTCTGCAATCTCTTCAATATAAATGCTTCCATCAGACACAAATACGATATTTTTTCAATTAGTAAAAGTAGGCCTGATGTGTGGGTTTTTTGTTTGAGGGCCAACAACTTTTCAGGTATAAAGTCTGAATTGTCTATTGTGTCTATTGTGAAACTAAAGTCACTCCTGTCCACCTTGGCTATCATTTTCAATACTTACAATATTCTTTACAGCTGCAAGTAAACTGAGTATATGAGGGCAGGAAAAATGGTTACGTGAATGACTTTCTGAGTCATTGAATTCGGAATTGGGGGGGGGGGCTATGAAATATGTTGCCTCAATAAGGGGGGGGGATAAAATAATTTTGTTAGAAAAATAAGGGGTCATGAAAAATTTTTGCTATTCCTAAAAATTTCCTCCGGCCCCCTACCCGGCATTAATAATAACATGTCCCTTAGCAAAAAAATCGAGACAGTCCTTACTTAGCAACAAATTCGAGACAGTCCTTACTTAGCAACAAATTCGAGACAGTCCTTAGCAACGAGACAAGAATTAAATTCCAGACAGAAATTAGGAAATGTGCAAGATAGTCTAGCTAAAGAACAAACAACACAATCAATGGACACGAAAGACACAGGAAACACGAAAGAGACCAGAAATTATCACGTATGTTTACAAGATTCGGTCTTATTACAAACAGCCAAGGCGAAAGTTGGCGTTTGAAACAAGAAGTTAAGCACTGAGGTAAGAGTTATTTTTTATTCGGGCAGCCAGAGAAGTTATTTAACCCAACGAGTGCGAAATAAGTTGCAATTGCCTACAGGAAATACAGAGTCTTTACGAATAAAAACATTCGGGGAATGCGAAACTGAACTAACTGCTTCTTGTGAGACAGTGAACTTAGCAGTTTGGGATATTACTTGTAGAACTAGAACACAACTCACAAATAGAAGGATTTGTTGTGCCAGTGATTTGTGCAACGCTAGGAAATCAAGAAATTGACCGAGCCCAAGTAGAGTACAAACATTTGAGTGACTTAAACTTGGCCGATAATAATGAAGGGGACGGTGTAGTAGAGATAGATTTATTAATCGGAGCGGATCAAATCGGTAAATTTTTCACTGGCAAGATAAGACGGGAGGAGAATGCCAATGGTCCAAATGCAAGCGAAACAATCCTGGGATGGGCTTTGTCAGGCCCAATGCCATCAAGAAAGAAAACTACTCTGTCTTCTGTGAACTTTGTTTCAACTCGTGTATTGAGAGTAGCAGTCGAATTGACAAGTGTGGAGAATGAAAAACAACCTGAGGAGTTATTGCATCGTCTGTGGGATACTGGGATTTAAAGTCAATTGGTATAACAGACAATGGACGGTGCATGAGTCGTTTGAAAGAAATGTATCTTTTGAGAAGGGTAGATATCACGTTAAATTACCCCTGAAAGAAAAACATGATATTTTACCGGACAATTATGATTTAAGTCTAGCACGATTAGACTCGCAAGAGAAACGTTTAAGGCAAGAACCCAGTCTATTTGAGGAATACAACCAGATAATTTAAAGAGCAATTAAGTCAAGGAATTGTTGAAAAGGTTTAAGATCAAAATCAAGACCCGAAAAGACGAAAATATGCAACCACTACAAAGGTGCGGGTTGTTTACGATGCCAGTGCGAAAGTTAAGCCAAAGTGCCCATCTCTGAATGATTGCGTTCACACTGGACCTTCCCTGGCTACAGATATTCTAAAGGTTCTTTTGGGTTTGGAGGGCGGAGAATTGGAATGGTTGCAGATATTGAGAAAGCTTTTCTCAATATTGCTATTGATGAGGAACAAAAGGACATGATGCGGTTCTTGTGGATCGATGAAATAAACAAGGACAATCCATATGTAGAAGTCTACCGCTTCTATAGGGTTATTTTTTTTCCATTTCTCCTGAATACAACATTACGCCACCACATTACGAATTACTATTATGATGACCCTGGCTTTGCAGAAAGGATTCTTTCAGAGCTTTACTTTGATGATTGGTCAGGAGGAGGAGAATCCAGAGATGATGCATATACAATATATCGACAGATGAAATCTTGTTTCGCAGCTGGCAATTTTAATCTACGGAAATAGGCTACCAATAGTCCAGTATTGATGGCTCAGATTCAGAATGATGAGGAAGTATTAAAGTCACTAACCACAGAGCATTTGAACAACACCGGTGAAAGTTCATATGCTAAAGAGTCAATTGGCGGTCTGGAAGAAATTGAACCTCCGAAGGAACATAAGGTACTTGGGATGAATTGGGATACTGACAGTGATACTTTTGTTTTAAAGTTAACAAAAGTTGTTCAATTTGCAAGAAATTTAGAGCCAACAAAACGGAACGTTTTGAAGACTGTCAGGTTGAAACGCTTACAGGGTTACCTTTCCTATTCCAATTCAATCTCTCGCTCTTATATATCCTCGCCCTCATCGTGTCACATAAAATTCACATATTCAGTTACTATCTAATCGTAGTTTTCCTTTTTTTTTGCGTACATGTTTACCATCACAGGAGTCGGAGTAAATAAATAAAGGATAACCATTTGAACTAATGGTCCTCATAATTTAGGCTCACAATGTCTTACACCAGTATTTGTGCAATTACCTATTTCATACCAATAAATGAATGTCGATATTATTTGTAGGGAACTGTAGAGCTATTTACGCTCCTTGTACTGTTTGGTAGTTATAACATTGACCCGCCATCTCCCACTCCGTAACAATGGCCCATTATGTTTAGTATATAGCCTATATCCATTAACTCTTAAATAGCTTGACCCTTGCTTATTTTCATTAGTTGACAAATGATATGTTTGCATGATTACATGTTTTAATTAATAGTATATACCTGTATGCAGTGTGATAAAATTGGTTATGTACGTTTGAAAATTTCGGACAGTTACGTTAATACATAGCGATATTTTAACTACATTTTGCTATCCGTATTGCGTTTACTCAGGAATCAATTCCAATAACACAGTCATATTTAATTTATTTAGTTCCTCCTCTTCTCCCGGAATCGGAATCCGCTGTTCATAATGATAATAATGACAATGACATGCAACATAATATTAATAGCAATAACACGAATGTCGAGAGCTCCAATAACGAGACTAATGCTTGTACAGATACTATAATACCCTAATTTCTGAAACACCCGAAGTAAATTCACCCGCCAATACCACAGAGAGTGAGGATAAAACCAGCCATTCCCAAGTATTGGTAGAGGATAAAATTACTGACGCACTAATGGTAGAATTAATGAAAGACGATGATCAGATTGACATAGAGACTGACCCAATAATCGAACAAATGTTATTAGGCCCAGATGATGACAACATTAACCATGACACTGCAACTAACAATAATACCCAAGACTCCTCAGGCGTAAACATCACCCCTCTAATACTGATTATGTTAACCTAGGTACTAACCAGACCAGAAACATTATTAACAGTATTCCTAATAATTTACATAGTGTTATGTTATGTATAAACAAGTAAAAGCTTTTTTATTTCATAAATCCCGACGATAACAATGCGTTCTATACTGTTTTTTTTACGAATATTAAGTCCTAACATAAACATTGTGGTTCGGGGTGTCCGTGTTCATTTTAATTATGCCCCAGCTCCTGAGTACACCCCGTAACACATAGGACCTTTAAAGGTACTGAATAACTATAAATTTAATCTTCACAAAACTAATACCCTACTAGATAAGCTAGTATAAGCTTGAGCAGCACAAGGAGATGAATACCACCCCAATGATTACCGCATGACCTACGCAAACTATGGGATGAAGCCCTCACTAACACATCTAATACCCTCCTTGATATACTAATTGAGAATCATAATTGTACCAAAACTAATCTCTTAAGCTTAAGCAACATAAATAATTCCCACCAATATGTATATATATAGTAACGCTCCAGAGAAACTAACGGCCTCTAATATTATACAGGTCACTAATGATATTGGTGATAAAACTAACAAAGGTAGAACCCTCCGCAGATTTAAACCGTATAAACGCCATAATAACGCGTCGCATGGTGGTTCTTATACATCTCCACCTTATGTGTCGACGAAAACCACTTCCTCTACGAAAACCCCTATCAATACCCCGTCTCGCTCTATTCCCAACCTAACCAATAATAATTATAATCCCGTATCGACTACCCAAACATTAACCCCACTAATGAGCTGCACCCCCAATAATATTAATCCTAATACCAACAACACAAGGAGAACTTATTCAACAGTTGGTTCCTCGTCTCCTCACATAATACAGCCCTCTCTTCTAGCTCCCCCGGCTAGAGTCAGGTCACAACGTATTGGCTCAACCATCACCAGAAATATGTCTAGCCCACGTACTCCTACACCATACCCCTTCCCCTTCGCAACTAACATGAGGAAGAGCAATAATAACACAACCACTAACGTAAGTAATTCTAATTTGGAGGATTTTCTCTCGCGCATGCATCTGCCCAGCTGTCATCTGAACATGAGAAACAATACGAAGCCCCGCTAACAAGCTAACCAAAACTAAATTACGTAAATATTTGCACACTAAACAAAATAACAATAATTATCGATTTAAAAGTAAAAGTGCAATTCTCTCTGAAATTAAAACGAAACATATTAAGAATAGTGTGGTGAATCTATCAAACACATCCCTTGCCAAACCCACCATTCAAATTTATCGAAAGGTCTTAAATTCATCCCCACACCACAACCCACTAATAGAGAGATTATACACAGGAGCTATCAGGACTTTCGATCGACGAAAAAATGCATTTACGATATTTCTTTAAAGATTGTGTGCAGCTAAGTATGAATGGGATGCAGTTTTATCAGAATCCAACTAGAAGGTGCTGGAGAAATGGATTGATGATTTAGAGACGGTGAGTTCTGTAGTTGTACCTAGATATTACTTTTTGGAAGAGGAGAGGCATCCTGAGAGTGTGACTCTTCACAGATTTGGAGACGCTTCCCAAAAGGCTTGTTGTGCTGTCATTTATATGTATATGCTTGGAAACAGACAGTGGCCGCACAACAAATCTTGTCGCCTCGAAAAGTAGAGTCGCCCCATTAGCAACAATGTCTATCCCTCGACTTGAGTTAATTGCAGCATTGATATTAGCATGTCTCATGTCAGTTGTTAAAGAGACTCTAAGAAAAATCTTTAACATTCTGAAAATTGTCTAAAATAATTGTATTGATATATAAACAAATCAGCCGTACCTGGTGTAGCAACTTGGTTCGCCGTGGTAATGCACTGAAGAATGTTGACACTGCAAGAACATTAAACATCCAAATGGACAGCTCTCGAACCTGAGATTGTACAGACTCTAAAGCTAAATCTGAGCGACGGCAAACATACCATGCAGTCAGGATATCTCTTCCAGTATGTTCTCCTAACAGTTTCCACAAACCACCACTCCTTCCCGTGTTAACATTCTCCCCATCAGTTGTTACATGCACCTACCAGCTTTGTTGTCTCAACCTTAACACCACTTAAACAAGACACAAAGGCTTCGAGCAGCCCAGATGCTCCCCCAAAATCACTAGATGAGATCCGAAGAAAAAGAGTATTGACACTTACCTCATGGAGGTACATACCTTGCTATTATGAACTTAGAATCAACTTGCTGGCGATCAGACCTGCCGTCCATTTGTACAGAATAACAAACGGACAATCATTCAATAATTTTGCTGTTCTCCATTTCATGCTGACCAATTATATCTCCATTACTGCATAATTTACAGGATCTCGGTAGTGTTACAACGAGCCATGCAGGCTGGTCAAAGGAAACAAACTCTGCATCCCATCCTTCGTTTTGAAACACACGCAATAAATGGTTGCTGTGTTCAACTGCCATGAAAGACCTTGATGACCAGTTTCTAGCACTGAGCGTTTCGGTTCTACAATCATTGTACACATCAATTAACTGCCAGGCGTAAAAGAATTTCCATTGTTTCAGCTTTGCAATTTTTCATCACTTTATCCATGGATGACTATCAGACGAGTTATTCCATGATTCATCTAGTTGCTTTAAACGCGGAGACTCGTTGTGTGCGGGTAAAAATAAATAGTCTAGTACATTATTTAATCTCCCTTCCCATCAACACGAACTCCACATGCAAGAGGTATTCTTCCAATGTTAGCGAACTTTCTCACTTCCATCTCTTACTTGCTGCACAATAAACATTATCACCACTTTCCTTTGCCGATTGTCTTTGACAGTGGCACGTCAGCGCGATAATTGGGAGGGGGGGCGAATATTCATATATTTGTGTTCACAGACCAAACAATGGATTTCTAAAGAAGTTCATAATACTGAACACGAAGATATGAATAGTCGCCCCCCCCCAATTATCGAGCTGGCGGCGCCACTGATCTTTGATCTCTTTTGCCAACTCTCTAAGCAGTCCTCAGATGGCAGCAGCCAGTTAATGTCTAGTTTTTTGCCTTTATATACCAAAAACTTGTTTGAGTTTCTATTGAAGTAGCCTGTCGGCTTTGACTATCAACTGTTAGATCATTAGCATCATCATATCCCCAGCTATAATATTTGACTTTCTTTTTCTGATAACAAAGGCTGTTGTTCCGCTTTTCTGTTGCACAATTTTTTTCAAAAAATGTTAGCAAAGATAATTTCTGCATGGTAGCTGAAGCAGCTTCTTTCGAAGATTTCCTCATGCGTTTTTCATGCTTCTGGACGAGTGGACGGCAGCTCTGATATTAAATAAAATTTAACTTACAAATAAATAAAATATTAATGGTTATAGTTTATAGCTTCGAACAAAAAAACTGAATTAAAGTTCATTTGAGTATACTTGTTATTTTAACCATCGCATTTTTTACAGTATTAATGGTTAAAGAATAACTCGTGCACCTTAAATTTACTTCATATTATCTTGTTTTGCGCGCCATTCGAATAAACTTACAAGTTCAAGTACTTCGTGTATAACTGTTAAAGAGGATGTAAACCTATTAGCCTGCGAGTGGGTTACATATACAGCTGGCTATATTTTAATCGTAAAATTGATGAATAATCACGACACGGTATTTAGGTCACATGTGCACACTTGTAAACCGCATTAAAAATCATAAAGTTGTGTTAGAGGGATGTTTAGTATAGGTAATAGCATGGTTTCGAGTGCAATTTGGATATAACATGCACGAGTGCGTTTTTCAAAGACCTCAAAATAGCACGAGTCTGAAGGACGAGTGCTATTTGAGGTCTTTGAAAAACTCACAAGTGCATGTTTATCTAAATTCCACGAGAAAACATGCTATTACTTATTAATAATTTTCATAAAAATATTCGAGACAATTGTAGTTTTAACTTACGCGTTTATAGCGAACATTCCACTGGTAAAGTTTTCCTGGCTTTGTTATATCACATTATGCAACGCTAACGGCTTGAAAATTCCATCTAACTATGTAATTTTTGTTAGTCTTGTTTAAGGTAATTGCTTTTCCATTTAAAAATAAAGATAAAAGCTATATTTTCCACGCGAAGGCAACTTTTACTTTGTGTAGCGTGGCGCCATGTTTGTTTTGTTTGGATTTTGGAAGCAATCTGTGACCGTTACTTCTTTAAACTATAAATTTCTTTAAACTGATTGGTTGATTTAATCATCACAATGTTTTTCCACCAATCAGATCAGTTTGTTACAGATTTTTGCACTGTGCATGATTACAGAAAATTGCACTGTGATTACAAAAAATTGCACTGTGATTACAGAAAATTGCACTGCTGTTTGGGATTAACTGCACTGAAATCAACCAATCACAGTCGAGTAATATCTTTATGTATATTATTATGAAAGTTAACAATACTAATTCAGGTTTTAATAGCACGCTAATGAAGCGTGAGATTTGTATTCACTACCCCATGGGCAGTGGATACAAATAAAGTAAACAAATAAATTCATTTTACAAGTACGTTAAAATATTCGCAACTGATCTTTATGCAGGGCCTTTAACAATGGCTCGCGCTGCGCGCTCACCATTGTAAATGCCCATGGCCATAAAGATCAGCGGCTCATATTTTAACTATTGCATAATACAATATGGATAATAAAAAAGCCACACGATTTAATGAAGCAGATATTCTACAAGAAAATCAATGTTCACTACTGGGGCAAGCACAGGGCCTACTAGGGTATATTCCCCAGTAGTTATACGTGACCTCCGCAGGCATCGCCTTTAGAATTATCGGGCAAAACCACGAGAATATAACAGCGTTGTTGCCAAGTCCGGGATTTTATCTCGAGAACTCGGGATTTTTTTTAAGCAGTTGCGATTTTTATTTTAAAAAGTCAATCTCGGGACTTTTTTTATTTTTGAGAAATGGAAGTTCGAAATTTAAAAACGATTGTTTGGTAAAATTGACTAAATAAACAATTTTTTCCAAATATCCAGGCTTCGTCCGCTCGTATTTAAACCCCATTGAGCTGCGCATACGTCAGATTTCGTTTTTACAACATGACGTACAAGGCTATCCTACCCGAAATTGGTGCGGAAACCACCGTACATTTTTATGACGTAAAAAGTGGGAATATCGGGATTTTTAGGGAATCTCGGGATATTTTGAGAGCTTACTTGGGATTTTTACAAAATTACAGTTGGCAACGCTGAATTATAATAGTATTTTATACAGAGTTGAAATTCGAAGACTAGATAGCTTAAGATCTACGACGTCGACGTCAGCTAGGGCGTCAGGGCTAAGCAGAGGACTGGGACTAGGACGTCGTCTTAAATAAGTCGATAATAGCTCAAGTATACGACGTCAAATATTTAGGGCGGCAAATGGAAGTAAATTGGTAATAGTTTTTGAAGTGTGCATACGTCTCTCTCAATTTGCTTGTCGTCCACCAAACGTCGACAACTAAACAACAAGAGTTTTACCGTCGTAAATACAAGAGCATAACAAACGGTAATGGTTTACACGTCTATTTTAAACTCATTTTCAAAAGAATGTAAATATCTATAGTTTAAATGTCTACGTCGTAAGTAATGTCTACGTGGAAGTTTATTTATTTAGGACGACATCCTATAATCCCAGTTCTCTACTGAAGTCGACGTCGTTGATCTTAAGCTATCTACTATTACGTACAGGAATAAACTGAAAGGATTGCTATTTTGCTGAACAAAGACTTAAAAGACGAGAAGGAAACTTCCCTGAAGGTAAGCAAAATGTTAAAGATTATATATAAGACTGGTCTGTATTTATCTTGCTGCCATGTGTGACGGTCATGCATTTATGAGCTCCGTATTTCTGACTACAAACTATTGTCAAATATCAGCATGCCTGAAACGATAACATTTATAAACTGAGAAGAAAAATGATGCTTTGAAGCGACAGATTGAATCACTGCAGAAAGATTTCAGCAACTCTGCAAGTCATGATCAAAAGTAAAGAATCACCGAAGCAAGATGGCGCAAGCAAAGAAACTCAAGCCCAAGTGCATATAGCTTCCAGACCTGCAGCCTTAACTTCGTAAGCAATGAATACGATACTCTAAGTGCTTTTCAAACTGAAGTCAAGAATGAATTTAAAAAGCTGAACTCACGATTAACAGAAATAGCCACGAAAGTAAACGACGTCGGCGATGTGCTTGAACAGATACAACAGTATAGCTATATCAGTATAATATTAGAGTCATAGTAGATCTTCCTCAACAAGACGAAAGGAAATCGGCATATCAAACCGGTTCTCTGTGTGTAAACCTCGTCCACTCACTTGTAGTCGACGCCGGTTAATTTTAATGATATTGATATTGCACATCGCGCTCGCAGTAGAAAAGTAGACGACGGACCAAGCTCGATAATTTGCAAATCATCTAACGATCATCTAACGGCTCCAAAAGACCAACAAATCTTATTTGAAGCAAAGGAATTTAAAGCTAAGAACGACTATCATTACTGCTGGACGAAGAACTTGGCTCAGTGTTTACTTAAGAAAGGACGCTTGAATTCTCGAGCTATTTGAATAAACGAACTTCACGACCTTCTGACCTGAGATTACAGAATTCAAACGATGTGCTTTCAAGCTAAGTAAAATGAAATGTTTGTTTCTCATATACACTATAATAACTAAAGATGCATGGAAACGATTAAACAAATATTCAACTGTCCAAGTCACGTACTACATGTATTACGTGAACTGCCATTTTATAATGTTAATAACTTAGTCTTAAGTCAATTCTTCAGCCACAACAATACTCAATAGCTTAACTACAAACCTCCCCACTATAAAAGACCTTGATAATTATTCTAGTATATATGTGTGACCTGGAGTCTGGACTTATTTAATTTAAACAGAGCCTCCGATGCAAATCCCGATGTAAATTTAAATCAACAGATTTTACAATCTCAATATTATTCACCCCATAAATTCAACAACTGGTCTTAAAAAATCACAGTCAAATTGTACCACAGATACCAGTTTCTCGATGCTACGTATAACAACGTGAGGAGCTTGAATTTATTACAAGAACTTGATTTCAACTTTAGTGTATAATAGGAATTAATTAATTACTGAAACTAAAATAAGGGATGATTCACTGACTTTAATCCAGAGGTAGTTAACTATAAATTTGAATATGTTCCAATACCGCTGGCTTCGGGTGGCGCGGGAATGTACATTAGAAATGACTTGAGACTTGAGTTGTACACACTTTTAGAAAAAAATTCTAATAAAGATTTTCCAACTCCTTGGGTTGAAATTCACTTTAAGAACAAATCAAATCAGATTGTATGTGGAGTAGTGTATAGGTAACATAATTCTCCAAATAGCGTTCAAGCATATTTTGAAGACATGCACTCTGGATAAATTTAGCGCTTATTTAGCGCTAACAAACATATATATACGTGTAATAGGTGATTTCCACATAAACCTCCTCAAGGCTCAAACTTGCCAACATACTCAAAATTTCTTATTTACTCTTCAATGTTATATGCTTTAACACCAACTATTGACAAGCCCACTAGAGTGTATAACAATTCAGCAACTTTAATTGACAATAATTTTGTCAATAATTATAAAATTGAAGATTCAATTGTAAGCGGGAATATTGTGCCAGATATGATATTAGCAACCACTTTTCACAGTCTTGCATCAAAATTAGAGATTTCTTTCATTTCTCAGAGTCAAGGGAAATGGCAATATATTTCTTTATTTTTTCAAAACTCTTTTACCGTTTTTTCTTGCCTTGCTTACTTTGAAATTTGAGACGAAGGCTTGCGTAGCTGCAAGGCCTGTGTCGATTACTCGGTTGGATCAAATTTCTTCAAAAATATGGCACATCGTTTGCCAATCTTTAGCAATCCTGTTTTGCGAGTATTTTCTAAATACATCTTGGCAGTTATGGCTGATGAAAGCGACGAGGAGATTCAGGCCTATACACGCATTTAAATAGTTACACTGTATAAGAGACAAATATGAATGGAATACATTTGTGGATAAACGGCCGCATGCCATATGCTTGTTTGTTCAGTTTTCACTGTTTTTATGTATGTTGCGGATACGAAAAGCGGTCTATATCAGAAGTAGTTAGAGACTTTAATAATATTGTTCTGGTAAAATGATATATTAAATATAATTTGGTTTGTGGCTCCCGTCATTTTGAAAAATTAGTCCGCAGGCCATTCCGTTCGTTTCCCATGCACCAATTTTATTTTTTTGAAAGGCCTGCGGAGGAGGTAGCATGTTACGTCACAAAACGGGTTTACGTAACGCAATATTTTTATCTAGGCAACCACTGATCATTTTGCACTCAAAATTATACTCTGTCTACTCTTAGAAATATCAAGATCACTTGAAACCATTAAAACATCTAACAATCAATATTTGGTCAGCAACGATAATAATGAAAATATTTCAAGAACTAAGCAAGATATGAAGAATCGGTAAGTTCTTTCAAATGAGAAAATAAAAAATATATATTGCCATTTCCCTTTAATAATGTTAATTTAGCACAAATCGGGAATAAAAGGAACAATATAGGCAAATTATTCATCACTTTTTACGATAAAGTAAACAATTTAACAAACAAATATGCCCCATTATTCATCAAAATTTATTTCTAAACTTGTGATAGGGCAATTTTCTAAACCATGTATTAAGTATACCAATTATATATCGAAACAAAACAACAATCTTAATTAACACAACTTTTCAAAAAAATCTTATTTCCACGAATATTTCAACAATAATCTTACAAATATGAGAAAAACGTGGGAGGGTATAAACAACCTGATATTGAATCACAAGATGCCTATAACATTCCTCATATAAGTGCACGTGTGAAAAAAACAAAGTGTGAAAATAGCATTACATTTTTACAATCTTTGAAAGGATTTAGAGTTGGGCATTTAAACATCGCTTCGTTAGTCAAGCATGTTGATGAATTAAAAATATACTTGGAAAAAGAACCACTGGATGTTTTGAGCATTAACGAAACTCGTTTGGATGAAACAATTAGTACAGATACTGTTAGTATACCCGGTTACGACATGGTTGCCAAAAATCGTAATCGGCAAGCAGGCGGTGTTGCAATTTACCATCGCAGTATTTTGAACGTAATTGATAGAGATGATTTAGTCCCAGAGGACGTCAGGGCTGTTTGCCTCGAAATTATTAAGCCAAAATCTAAACCTTGCATCTGCATATAGGCCACCGAATTCGCAAATTGAATTCCTGCTTGATAAAATTGAAGTATTATTTCAAAACCTTGACAACGAACATAAAGAACTAATTATCGTTGGCGATTTAAATTGTGATTTGTTATCCAACAATTTAAGCAATCACACTAAACGTTTTAATGATATAGTTAATATATTCCAGCTGACACAGTTGATTGACCAGCCTACACGAATTACCGAAAAACAGCTTCTCTTTTGGATGTCGCTCTTGTAAACAATCCTGAAAAGATTTCGCACTCAGGAGTATTGCATGTTGGAATAAGTGACCATAGCTTGATCTACGTTTGTAGAAAAATTTCGTTTTGTAAAAAATGACCCAAATTTGTTGAGTCAAGAAATTTTAAAAACTACATACAGCGAGACTTTAACCAAGACTTATACCATGCTTTATCTAATTTAAATTGGGACTGATAAATGATCCAAATATGCTTTGGGAGAACTTTCAAACAACATTCCATTATGTTGCTGACATTCATGCTCCACTTCAAAGCCGTAAAGTTAGAAACAGAAAGGCACCGTGGCTGACTGACGCAATTAAGAAAAGTATGAATAGCCGAGATTATCTCAAGAAGAAAGCTATTAAGACAAACTCAACTGCATGCCACAATGCTTACAAAAGTCTTCGCAATGAGATTAACAAAAAAATTATGTATGCAAAGCGAGATTATTACACAAACTGTGTTGACAGAAACAGAAATAATACAAAGCAAATGTGCATGGAAACATAGTAATCAGTCAGTTAATAAAAATTCTAGATCAACAAATATATCAGTACTACAAATAGACGAACAGGTTATTACTGAAAATGAAACTATAGCTGATTTGTTAAATGAATATTTTACTGATATAGGACCAAATCTGTCGAACCAGATCACGGAAACTAACACAGATTTTAAACGTTATATGAAATTTAAAACTCAACATAAGTTCAATTTCGAAAACATTAATATCAATGAAGTGTTAAATGCACTGGAGAAATTAAAGACGTCTTAAGACTGCAAGAATTTCTCCAATTCATAAATCTGGTGACAAAAAAAATCGAGGCAATTATAGACCGATTTCCGTTCTTTCTTTCGATTATTGCTAAGTTATTTGAGAAACTTGTCTGTATACAGCTGAATTCCTTTTTAACTGAAAATAATATTCTGAGTTCGTGTCAGTCTGGTTTCCGTAAAAATTATTTTGAAAATATCTAGGATGCCTAATTCTTTGAAAATAGGCTCAGTATGTTCCAAATACGATTTAAATGTTATCAGTCGAACAATTTTTTTTCTGTATATTCATTATTTTTTGTATTTGGGTTTTGTAGGTATTACCCCAAATCAAGTTGCCGTAGATAAGATATGGATAGACTAATTCATAGTAAATTAATTTTCCTGTATTTTGGGTTACAAAAAGTCTAATTTTTATGCCAGAAGCTCTTATAATTTTCTTTGCCACCTGAGCAATATGGTCTTTCCAGGTCAGACATTCATCAATAATAATACCAAGAAAGGTTGTACTTTTAGCTTGTTCTATATTTTTATTGTTTAGGTTTATTTTTATCTGATGTTTTGGTTTCTTATTTGAAGACCTAAATAGAATAAATTTGGTTTTCTTTACATTTACAGAGATTTTATTCACATTTAGCCATTCAGCAACTTTATTAATTTCCACTTGAATAATTGTATTAAGTGACTTGACACAGCTGTTGCTATAAAATATATTGGTATCATCTGCAAACAATATAAATGAAAGTAATTTACTGCTATGCTCAATATCATTTATATATAATAGGAATAGAATTGGTCCACGTATTGATCCTTGTGGAACACCAGTTTTAAGTACCATCTCTTTTGACCTGACTTTGTTGTATTTAACAATTTGTTTTCTATTAGTTAAATAATCTTGAAACCTTAGATGTGTTGTTCCGCGTATACCATATGTGCTAGTTTCTGAACCAGAATCTTGTGATTAATTAATTGTGTCAAATGCTTTTTACAAGTCAAGGAATATATCTATAGTGTATTCTCCATTGTCAATTGCTTTAGTAATTCTGTCAGTATAAGTTCAATGATTTCAAGTTAAGTGGATCTGTTCGCTCTAAAATCATATTGATGTTTGGTAAAGATTTTATTTTTTTCTATAATTTTAATTAATCTCTTGTACATGAGTTTTTCTAATAATTTTGAGAAACAGGTGAGAACAGATATGGGTCGATAATTTTTAAATTCATTTTCATTCGCTTTGAAAGTAGAGCTACTTTTTGGTTATCAGGAATAGTTCCACTGAGAACTAGTTAGGTTAAATATGTGTGACAGAGGTTCAAAAATTTCATTAGAAATGTTCTTGATGACTTGTAGACTTATACCATCATATCCTGAACTAGAATTTGAATTTTTTATTTTATGAGTTCATATTTAGGATTTTATCTCATGAGTTCAAAATTACTGGATGCTGATTGGTTGAGAGGAGTACAATTATTTCATTAATTATTTATCTTCTGTAATCAGTGGCAAATACTGCAATTTCATTGGTTTACAGGAGTGCGATTTGAGCATTAATCGCACCTTTTCTGAGCTGTAATCGCACTCTTGTCTACAGCCAATGAAAATCAGTCTAGTATTTACACTAGCCAATCAGCACTCAGGATACAAACTTTGAATTTTATTTTATTTATTGCTGTAAAAAATTCAAAATGGAGGAATTCACAAATTTTGCCCTTTTAATTTTTAAATCAGCCCTCGAAAACCGTCAAAATTGAGGTCGGAAAAAAAATGCCGACCTAAATCTGACCTATCTCGGCATTTTTTTAAATCTGTTTCCATGTCTTGGAGCACTAGTAGCCTGCACTAGTAATCACGTATTTACGAATCATTGAAAAGTATAAATGTCACGAAGCCTTTTCTTTTAGAGTTTTACCTAAATTATATCATAAATATACCCGTTAATTCTTAAACCTTACACCAAAGTGCATCGAATTCTATAATCGCTGACTTTTTAACAACTATAAGAACCAAAAAGATTCTTACTTTGGCTGAATTAAGGTCGGCAAAACATTGCCGACATGGGAGGTTGATAGGTCGGCATTTTAATACTGAAGGTCGGCATTGCCGAATGCCGATCTCGTTTTCGAGGGTTGTTAAATTATATATTTTCTGACGAAAATGACCTACCTGTTCATCCAGCAGAAGACACCGAACTAGACACAATCCAATTCAGATGATTAATTGAACTAAAGAACTTCACTATTTTGAACACGTTATAAACATACAAACATGGCTTCCCAATTGTGTTTTGAATAATTCAAACAAATGTTGTCATGTGGTTATACCGGAAATAATGCCCGGAAGTTAATAATATGTTAATTTGATTATATATGATAAATAATAATTCAAAATTGTACTATTTCACTAAGAATTGTCGTGACAAAAATTTAAAAATTATATTGAATTTCAACAAATTGTATTTTTCTGCTTTTCCCCCTTAAACAGTTTGATTACAGAAGATAAATAATTAATAAGTAATAGAACGAATTAAGTCGTACTATTAATGCCATAATCATACTCGTGATTAACAAATCAACCTCCCGCTACGCGGTCGGTTGATTTTGTAATCACTCGTATGATTATGGCATTAATAGCACTCCTATTCGTTCTATTACCATCATTAATTGTACTGGAGTACAATTAATGGTTTTTCTAAAACAAACAAAATGGCGGAAAGGTATTTTAACAAAATATGACAAATGTGAAATGAAATTGCCCTAGAGGAATTAAATGAAAATACGAACAAAAGCACCAAAGGCCACCAAATGTTGCTTTAACAAAAGGCCTAAATAAAATACGAACAAAAATGCCAAATTTTGGTCCATAGTCTAGCAGGACTGGCGAGAGAATATGATGTTGATATTGAGAAGTATCCAATTTTGTCATGCTAATAATAAACAAGTAATCATGCGATGTTGCTCGTACAATTAGGGTTAATAGTATATTCGTGATGCCATAATTGTACTCGCCATCGCATGATTACCTATACAAATTGAATATATATATACATTCGGCTTCATATATATTACCGGTACCAGAAAGAAATAAAGCTATCCCCACCTGAATTATTGAAAATATTGGCGATGTTTTGCATCATGAAAATGTATACTAAATAAGCTAGCGTTAATACTGGCAATATTGATAAAAACATGATCCGTGTACAATACAAAATAAAGTTTGACCGCCCCCACCCTCGTTTAAAAAAATTCCTGAAGCCTTAATTATTTTCCCGGAGATACGACCTGAAACATCCGACAGACAGACAAAAATTCGGAATCTCGACAATACATAACTCGAGCAAAGAGACTGGGCACAAGTAAACGCGAAACTTCATGTTAAGAATAGTGTGCTGCCTTCGGCAGCAACAAACGATGCATTGCAATAATTTGCACATAATTTTTTAAATTTGTTTTGGGAGAGCGTGATTGGTTGAGTGTTCGGGAGGGGGCGGGGATACGAAACATTTCATCTTCTTTGAGGGGAGGGGCATTAAATATTTTCCGACGGTTATAATCATATTAAATATCCCCCCCCCCCCAGTATACATACTTTATGACCGGACGCAAATATATTGAAGTGTTTTAATTTTTATATGAATTTAAAAGGAGGCATGCAAGGTGGGGGTGGCCTATATTGGCCTTTTTCCTTTATTTTATTTAACTCGGCTTTGCGTCGGAATTTTATTGAGAACATTAAGCCTTGTATGCATATTTAAACCTTTTTAGTGCAAAATTTGACTTTTGCACTTTTGCTGTAGGTGGCAAATTGAGACAAGGCATGTATTCAAACATCTATATATCTATCCTATCTATCCATACATACAGGCAGAGAGTAAACTTTCCGTGGGGTGTATACAATTTATGTTTGTCGTGATTTATTGTACTTAGTCTGTGCTTTGAAAGTTATTTAGGCAATTTCACGTGTTTTATTTAAATATACCGGGTGTCCCAAAAAAAAGTACTCCTGTTTGATTCGTAATAACGTCTAAACAAGTAAAGCTTTTAAAGAGAAATAATTTGCATCAAATAGAGGAAGGACTAACTTAGATTTTGATATATTACAGTTGTATTTTACTTAAAAATTCACGGAGATATTAATCTTTAAAATCGGGAGCATATTTCTGGATGTGTCTGAAATATGCAAAAAACGGCGTATCAAATATTAATCAAGATTTGCCCGACTGAAACATGCACTATTACCAGTAAACAAATGACACTTGACAAATTGTTTATTATGAAACAAAGTATTATTATATCTACAAAGTACAAGCACGATTTATTCGTCCGAAATTCGCGTGTGTTCCTAGCACGAATACGTTTCCTTATTTCATGAGACCACTGCATCGCGAAGGATCGTCATGGATCGTTCGTAGTTCTGAATTAGGGCATGCCGTCACAACGGAATTGTGAAGCTCTTCTAACTTCTGCAACGTTCTGAAATCTTACACCCAAACTCTTTTGCCTTTTCTTAATCTTGGCAAGTTCAGAGTAAACTGAGAATTATATGAAACACAATCAAACCATACAACTCCATAAGACATAACAATTAAGCAACTCCCCAGAGACATGCAACACTTTTGGAACAAAACGTAACAAAATAGTAGCGTTGATACGGTGATGTGTATTTGCAAAAAGCAATATTATTTCCTTCAATAAAGAATAATATTCATCCTGCTCTAACCGAGAAATAATCTACTCAGTCTGTTTGAACCCATTAAAAACATAAAAAAATTAGGCTATTTAAGAATACGAAAAATTTAAGCGCCTGCCTTCCATGGTCAGTCTTTCATGTACATTTAAGTTCGTAAAGACCTAATATTAAATACTTGCATAATTTCAAACGTTCATATTTCAGGAAACAATGAGCTAAGACTTACATGTAAGATGTCTAAATCTACGCCATATCCCTTACAAACCCTAACGATAATTCGCTGAAATACAAGTTAGCCTGATATGTCATTAAGCAAACAAACGCTGGAGTTAATATTTGATATGGCGATTTTCGCTAATTTTGACACATCCCAAAATATGCTGCCGATTTTGAACATTAATATCTCCGTGAATTTTTAAGTTAAATACAACTGTAATATATCAAAATTTAAGTTAGTCATTCCTCTATTTGATGCAAGTTATTTCTCTTTAAAAGCTTTACTTGTTTAGAAGTTATTACGAATCAAACAGGATTACTTTTTTTTGGGACACCCGGTACTGTTTTGTCCTTTTGCCAAGTTCACAAAAATTTCGAGGAATCATTGTCGAATTTATAAAGTTTTGAAAATTGTAAAAAAAAATAAATAAAATTTAAATTTATTTCATTTTATTTTTAAATTTATTTCGCTTCTCACTTTGTATAAAGGATCTTTACCCCGGAACACCCGATTTCTTCTTTAGCAGCGCAAATGCGTATGTGCTATCAAGCCTTGTATATCACGATGGCGTGACGATGCTATGAGGGAGCGACAGAGTGTTGTTTTTAAATGTAAAAACATTTCAGACGTGAATATTGAGTAAATCTTTGAGAATCTACGCAATATATATAAATTGATGTTACGCAGTATACGGGCATTCAATTAAGTGCCGATATTATGTTGACGTTATATTCATTATACAGAGCTATAGCAAGGAGCGAGACAGTTTTGTTTTTAAATGTATAAACATTTCAGACGTAAATATAATCGTGAAAATCTTTGAGACTCTATCAATAAATAAATTGATGTTATGCACTACGGGCATCCAATTCAATTAAGTGCCGATATTATTTTGACGTTATATTCATTATACACAGCTAGGAAGGAGCGAGACAATGTTAAGTTGTTTTCAAATGTATAAACATTTCAGTCTCAGACGTAATGCCCGCCACAAAGCAAACGTGTGCGAAAAAAAAACCCCAAAAAACAAGTCTAACGAAAGAATGTTCCTGACATATAGAGGGGGGGTGCCCCCCCCCCGCCCTTGTTAGGTAAACAAAGCCAGTCGGGCAATATTCGCTTCACAGTTGGTCAATATTGGCTAATTATAAAAATAAATGGGACAAATTTTGTGGGAAATATGCTATCTAATAGGAATTTTTCGTAATGGCACTCCTCCTCCTCCCCCCCCCCAGTCGACAACAATTTTGGAAAGATACTCCGGAAAATTTTTTTTGACAACTCGGGCACAATCCGAAAAAGTCGGACAAATTTCTTTCCGCCCACCTAATTTTTTCCTTCCCGTACGGCCATGATAAATTTGGTGTCTGTACAACACTGTTAGTGCTTAGCAGTGATATTGCTAAATTGCCGTTTAATTTAGGTTTGATAAATTAAATTTGCATTAAATTTGCTTGTTCTTTGAAGTGCCTAAAGTTTGCGTTCGCGCTGCGGCTTGCGCTTTATAACATGCAATAATACTTTTTTTATTGAATACTGTAAACCTACGACTATAAGCCCCCCCCCCCCGAATATAAGCTCCCCCCTCCGTGTATAAGCCCACCACATGTACTAACGCTCAACTCATTCCAAATATAATATAAGCCCCCTCCAGAAAATAAGCCCACCCGAATATAAGCCTCCCGAATATAAGCCCCCGAATATAAGCCCCCCGAATATAAGTCCCCCAATTAATATAATCCCAGTAATCGCTGCTTAATACACGTTTATTTCCCTGTTTATGACTGACTTGTTTATATCTGACTTGCATGTTTATTACTAGCACAAAAGATCGATCATGTATAAGCCCACCCGTATATAAGCCCTCCCCCCTTGTATATAAGCCCATTAAAAATTGGTTACGAAAGTATATAAGCCAAGCGCTTATAGTATACGGTATGGATGCAAAAGTGTTATTGCCACATTTTTACGCTAAAACGTTTTCTTAATTTTCGAATTGGGTTTTAGTAGGGTCCATTTTGGTTAACTGATTTTTGTTCCATTTGTTTAATATATTTTATTTGCTTTACTTTTAAGAATTCTACTTCTCCAAAAATGAATCCGTCCAACGATCACAACAACTGGATAACCGTTGCAGAAGTAATTAATCTAATTAGGAAACCTGTTGCTTTGTACACTGGGCAGATCGTGAAAAATTGGCATGTTAAGCTGTGTTGCCTTCTAAAAGGGCGATGCACAAATCCTATAGTGTGCAAGAAAAAAACAGCTCATAAAAAACTTTGCCACTCTTGCAACCAATGGTACCAGGAGCTTGCTAAATGGCATAGAAATAGAGATAAACGACAGACAAAATGGCGTGAAAACTGTGACACATCAAAGTGGCCTGTTGATCAATGGGAGGTAGCCAAGTTTTTTATGCCTATCCTTGGAGACAACAAAGGAACCGTCAAAGACGCAGGATCAACTGATATGTCATCTCTTCTAAACGTCCTTGAGTGGGTGAATGATGCAATTTTTTTTCCAGACAAGCGTGTGGATCTCGATCTTATTAGAAAGCTTCGTTCAGGAGTTAGAAATCCTTGGGCGCATGCACCAAATCAAGAGTTAACCGATGCTGATCTTAACAACGCTTTTGACACTGCCAATAAGATTCTTGCCGACCTTGATATTGTTTTCAGCTGTATTGAAGTCAAAGAGTGTATAAAGGAGATCAAGTTTGTACAAACTAACGGAATAACCAATGTCGTAAAAGGCGAGTTAGATGCTGTAAATTTGCTGCGCGATGAGTTAGTTGCAGATGTCTGCCAATTAAAAGAAAATCAAATCTCCGACCGACAGATCATCAAGGAAAACGAGAAAAAGTTGGAGAATCTCGAAAAACTCATCAGCCAATTACAAATATCGAATGTTCAAGAAACTGGACGACGGGCGCAAATAAAAAACTGCATACCTGACAAACCTTGTACGTTCATTGGGCGTGACGCCGAAGTAAAGGAAATTATTTCTTCCTTGACGGAGAACGGCTGTGGAATTGTCTCCATTGTTGGTGGTCCAGGGTTTGGCAAAAGCACCGTTGCAATTGAAGTCTCCCATCATCTTTGCGATAATCATGACATCATCGTCATTTTCTCATACCTGTCAAATGTTTCAACTGTGTCTGATGTTTTTCTACGTCTTTGTCAAGACGTTGGCGTTAATCCTGGAGACGATTCTAAATTATCGTTTACGCTGTGGTTAAGGAATATTAAGGAGAGAGTCATCCTTGTCATGGATAACATCGAGCAATTGCTTGAAGAAGAAGTAAAATCCGAATTTACTGAGTTAGTGGTGACGCTCCGCAAGAATTCACAGCAACAGTTGCAGATCCTAGCAACGACAAGAACCGCATTCTCAATTCCTAACCAACCCCCTAAAAGCATTCAGATAGGAGAGTTGGATGAAAATTCTAGTGTCGAACTTTTGAGGAAGTGCTGCCCTAATACAGGAGTAAGAGATGGTTACTTGTGTGACTTGGCTAACCTGTGTGGTTTTATTCCTCTCGCTTTATGTATCACAGGATCTAGAATTCCACGTCTAGATGATCCAACTGAGTTAATTCAATGGTTAAAAGAGAAGCCTATGAAAGCTTTACAGTCAACTGACAAAACGCAGTGCGTCCGAAAAGCCATCGAGTTTTCGTTTCAAATGTTGAGTAATGAAGACAAGAAAGCATTCGCTCGTCTTTCAGTATTCAATGGAAATTTCCAAAAGAAGTCTGCTCAAGAGGTTATCGAGAGAGATGGGTTGGAAACCCAAGATTTCTTAGAGCAGCTCGTAGATCGGAGTTTAATACAGAGTAGCAGTGATAAGCGCTTCGTGATTCACTCGCTTATTCGGCGATTTCTGGGCGATCATAATCAACATCAAAATGAAAAGGCAATAGGAGAAGGATTGATGGTGAGGCACTTTCTAACGTTGTGCCATTTGTGGACCATGAAATCTTACTCCAACGACGGATTTACCGATGCCCGAAAACTACTGAAAAAAGACGCCCACAATGTCGAAGAAACGTTAAAAATCTGCTGCCAAAATGAAGCAACAAATCTGAATCCAAACGTCATCGAATCCTTGGCAAGAAGTGATATTTATAATTCTTCATCGAGGTTCTTTTCCAACTTTGGCTGGGATCTTCTTCCACGGACTGTTTTAAGGAATTTCCATGAATTCTGTATAAAGCTAGCGGGACGTCGAAAGCAACTAACAATTGAGATCACATTTCAGTGTCTCGTAGCAATCCAAGAAGGACACAAATCTGCATGGAAATCTCCTGAATACATCGACAGAATGGAGCATATCAAGGAACTCTTTGACAGAAATGAAACAGTGCTTAAAGAGGTCAGGTCCTTACATCAGTTTTGTTACTATTTTTATGCTCGATATTATTCTAGCATAGCAACAAATACACCATGTCTTGATCTTCCAGAAGATGATCTTGAGTCTTTGTCCGAAGATAAAGATCGAAGTTCTATCGATAAAGTTGCCGAGACACTTATCTTAATCGAGCGTGGACATTTGAACAAAAAACGTGGAACTAAATTATTCCACTCGGATAAAATTAAGTATAAGGAATACCTGGAATGTGCAAAATCATTTTACAATCAAGCTTTGTCATCAGCTAAAGAGTTGTTGGGTGATCATGAATTAACGAGTGCTTGTCATAAATATTTAGGAGACTTATACTTTACCATGTGGAAGAACGAAGAGGCGTTGCCGCATTATTCCGATGCCATACAACTGCGCAGGAAACTAAAACTTGATTCTAACGAGCCTTTTGTGTACTTGCTCAAGAATTATGGCTCGTGCCTTTCTTTTCTTAGTCGCTTTGATGAATCGGTGGATATGTTAAAAGAAGCTCGCGATATAGCTGATAAGCTTGCTGAACGAGGCACCCTTTGCAGAGCCAATGTGTATTTTGCGTTGGCGAGAATGTGTCGTCTCTGGAAACCTGATTGTCAAGAAGCTGCGAAACATGCTAATACGGCAATGGAGATGAAAGAGTTGTTACATCCAAGCAGTGTAAGAACATTGGAAGAAATAATTAAAACGGCAGAAGAAAACATGCCTTGAAAGAACGCTCGAGAGACATTGAACTGATTTCTGTAACGCTGCTCCAAGAATTATTGTCAGTCTTATGGACGATAAACATAAGCCGATCTAGCTCGGTTGCCTTAATTTTTTAAGATATGACTGCAGCTTTAAGGTTCGCATGAGAATTTCCAATGAGAATTTGGTTACGATTAGTCACCAGAATGTTGATCGGAATATTCTTTCAATTCAGAAACGTAGAAACATTTCTTGACGAAAATGACTGATTATGAATATTTCTCTCGAAAATTCACTTTTTATTAAAGATCATTGCAATAGTGTCAGGTTTCGTGCTGTAATTTCAGCATTAACTATGAGACTTCTTACAGTTTACGTGAAAAGAAATACATATAAATAGACTTTAAACACAGAATAAAGATCAGTAAGACAGTAACAGAAGGGCCACTCAGCGGCGCAACGTGTCCTCGTTTTTTATATGCAAAGTATGCAGTTTACTGGCCAGAAGGCGGATCGGCCAGCCAGTACAGGGCGTTTATTGGCCAGAAAATGTCATTGACTGGCTAGGAAAATGGCGGCCAACATGCGCAATGCGACATGCGCGAGGACAGAAACTTCATAGCTTCCGACGTAAGTGGCCCTTCTGTTACTTATCTTTATTCTGTGCTTTTTGCTAGCAATGAAATTTAAAAACTTTTCATGAATCAGTGTGGATTTTATGAGGATTTCAAGGACTTTTCAGCACTCAAATTTGTATGTTAAATTGTATTTTAAAAACGTTCTTTGTATTTAAGGGGCCCTACAGTGAATTCTTTATGGCTTTGCCACCTTAGGCATGGGTTATACCTTTTGTTTTGTTTCATTTTTACTACATGACGATCATAATTCGCATGTTATTAAAAAACCTCCCGGTAGAGTTCTCTAACTTAAGGTGGCAAGTCCGTAAAAAATTACTGTAGAGCTCCTTTAAGGCTAGCCTTTTTTTTCTTTTGAGGCCAACTGTGTGTTAATGCCTGCAATTGCCGTGACAATGAGATGTCCTTCATTTTTATTTACTGAACTTGGCAAAGCGAAGATACAACAATTTTTAAATGTTACGACTAAACCCAGTGCACCAGTTGGTATAAGTATGAGCAAACCATTGTATGATCGAGAATTTTATCCATGCATGCAAACAGGCTATTAACCCTTTATTGCCTGGGACTAAAAAAATATTTAAAATGTGAAAACTATTGTATATGCGTAAATTCACATTGATGAACAAATATTGGTATTTTTTTCGGCCATAAGTAAGCTAGTTTCGGATATATGTTTTGTGCACATATGTTGACATCAGACACATCAGAAATTTATGGAATGAAAAATATATTTTTTAATTATCTGAGTATAATGAAAATCATATAATATTTACAAGAATGGTACAGTTATTTAGAAGTTATGCCATGGTAATCCAAAAAGCATGTTGTCCCTGTTACGCACAGGTACACTCGGCACTTTGAGGACAAAAACTGGTTATTCTGCTACAACCAGTGTTTTTGCAACGTCGAGGCTTCTTATCTTGAAGAGGCCAGTGGTTTCATTTGTCACGTACATCCTTTGGAACTTGGCTGGCTTGAACAACCAACATGGAAATCTTCATGAAAAATCTATACTATCAATTCTGCATGAAGAGACCCAACCTTGGATTCAGAATGTTGCATGTACGTACTATAAAAAAAACAGAGAATGTGGAAATTTATTTGGCAAAAGCTTGCTTTTGAAATACAGTGCTAGAAAGAATAAAATTGTTATGCCTTTAATTCCATTAGCAATCAGATAATGTGCACAAAACGTTCGTGCTATAAAATTCACATGAAATACCAGTCTAGGACTGATATATACAGCATATTTTCATTTATTTGCATTTCTAAAACTGTTATCTTAAATTTTTCATATTATATGTTATCGCTTTTTATGACAAAATAAAACAAAATTTGGAAGAAATTATCAATAAGCTTACCTCGCACACAATTCACTAAACGACAACATGTATTTCGCCTAGTGGAAAACCGCCTTTAGTCGTTGCTTATTTCTCGTCCATGCATATGACTGAAAAAAAATCGTTGTGATGACTCTGGAATTCTTTCAACTAATATATTTACCGCTGTGTATGAAAAGTTTTTTATCCCAGCAGTAGGCATATTATCCACTAACTGAACCATACAATTTGTAAATTTATCTCAGATTCCTTTAACTATTACTCTAATGGCCTGGTCATAACATGGATTGTTGCTCGACTTACCTCCCCAGGACAGACAAGTGATCTGTTTATATGGAAGTAAGTTACTCGGAATTTGACTTTTATCCAGGTTATCAGGTTTCAAAAATCAAAAATCAAAACAGTACGTGCTAAGACATTCTAAAACCTTTATCTCGCCTGCTATCTCAGAACTCAGCTAGGAGGTTACCCAAATAACACAATTTTCATATTGTAGCTGAATTTAAAGCAAGTAACTCAGTGAACCGGGTAACTTGCCTCCATATAAACAGGCTCTATTAAAGAACGAGTTCTTATATGCTGGCCTGGCTGGTTTTGGGCTAGCTTGTAAGTGCCGAGGACTGCCTCATATTGGATATATATTTTTGTAAAAATGAAGGGCAGGCCTGCCCAGTTTGCTAGAATTTGAATTTGTAAAATGCTATTTTGCCAAGTAAAGAAGTGGGAGTTAGGGCAGTGTCAGTTGGAGTATTTACCCTGTTTCTAACTTCTGTCACTTTCAAATAAAAATTAAACACAAATTTTATTTATTCACTAAATATTAGGAGAATTCACATCACATCAATATATGAATAAATAGAATTAAATTAGCACTTGCCATCTAGGCCATATACCCAGTTTACTGGGCTAATCCGGCTAACCCTAAAAAGTAGCACGCAACCATAGGCAGCCAAGCAAATGCGGCTGCGTCATATGTGTACCTATGTTAATTATATACATAATACATAATAAAAATCTTGGGTAAGTACTTCGTGTATGCCAAATATTATCCAATTAATAATGGGCATATATGAAGTACTAGCCAGTTCTCTTGTATATATTAACATGGGCCTACCTGAATGCCAAAAATATAAGGGGTTGGAACAAAAATACCAACATTGTTTATTTGCACAAACCTATTTCATAGTTATATTTTTTGTGAACCTTTGCTCCACAACAATGCCCGACTCTCTAGGACAAATTGGAGAGGGGGGACGCTTCGTATGCATAAATAAAAAGTATTTTCCACAATAAAAATATTATATGATGAGATAAAATAGAAATCGGCAGTCCTGGCCTGTTGTTAGGTGCTTATATATAAACTGAAACAATCTACTAATCTTAATCTCTTTAAATCCAAACTAAAACAATTTATCTAATTAAGTTGAACAATTTATCTAATTAAGTTGAGTTTTTTCAAACTATGAAGTATAATTATATATAATCCACTTGTGAATATTTTATAGTTTTTAAATAAGCATAGACATATAGTTTATGAATACCATGTATAATATAGATATATATTACAGGACCTCCCTGAAAAACTCTTCGGTGAGTGGAGCTTCCTGAATAAATATTATTGTTATTATTATTATTATTATATGAAGGAAACCTGTTTTGTAAGTGTTAGGGTAATTTAAATAAATAAATTTCACCTTGTTTTAAGGCCATGCAGCTAGGCAAATTAAAGGTGAGATTTTTTTCAAACATTTGTATGTATGGTTCTTATATCAATACAAAGGCAAGTACTTTACCATGCAAACCGTGACATCTCACTATAAACAGATGAGATGCTAAATATTTTTGCCCAATGTCACACAAAAAATTGCTTTTTTGTGCAGCATTCTATCCATTTATTTGCAGGATAATGCATGCGAGGGGTTGCTGAATTCATGTCAGTATTTCTAGTTTAAATTATACTATCCGAGTATGCGACGTCATTCTGTTTCGTGTTTCAACATGTTCTTTATTTATTGGTTTCAAAGAGTGAGTATCTTGCCTGTGATCCTTTGCGCGCTTGTGTTTACATTTGATGTTTACATTCGACTATATCTCATTAATATTCTTTCTTTACCAACGTTTTGCATCAACATAACACAACATTTCACAAAATGTAATGACTTATTACTTTGTTTAAAAGTACAAATTGCTTTTCAAAAAGAGTCTTATAAATTGATGGACCAATACAAATTCAATGTCAAATATTGCACATAAATGTCTTGGACACGGACTACTTAATGCAACCAGAAGTACCACTCTTGTTGGAACCATTGATTAATTTGTCCATAAAAATGTTTGCTTGCCCACCCGAATCTTCGCCATCCTGGTTATTACAACTGTACCGGAAGGTTTTATCAGGCTTGGCCGGTAAGGTACAAAGCGAGATAGTAACGAGGTTCAGATTTGACTTCCGCTACATTTACCGTTACCATAAAGGAAAATTAACCAATCAAATATGTTTAGTTTACCCGATTAACCAGTCACATGCTGCTTGCTGTTTAAAACAGGAGTAGTGCTTTACACGTTAATTGTTTACACTTGTCAACAATATTGAATAATACACTGCAAAAATTAGGCCTATTTGTAAATTTTAAGCAAAAACGTGAGTAAAATTTGCACCATAAAAGTTGCATCATAAAATTACGTTTTTTGTGTTTTTGGGACTGAATTTATTTTAATTTCCCCTATTTCTTGATCAGTATTACTTCCATAAAACAGCTAGCCGCCATTTTGAAAATTTCGGTTTTGTTACATTCACCTGTAGGTGAATATAACAGCTTAATACGTCAAATTTGACCAATCAACGTGTGGGATTTGCTATGTTCACTTGTGCAAAAATACCAATGCATGATGTCAATAAATTGAGTCTGAATCCGGTGTAACAATGCTGAACAATATTGTTGCCAGCTGTGAACAATGTGAGCAGCACAATATTGTTCAATACTGTTACATCAATATTACAACAACCTGATCGTGTTTAGGCATGTAGTGGTTTGGGAAGTCTAATCTGAACGTCGCTACTAGACAGGGCGGCTTAGATTCGGTCGATTTATGACATTTCAAGCGGACAAAATTTTGCTTCAGTGGGACCTCTGGTTGTACAAATACTCTGCAGCCAAGCGCACAAAGGATCACTGGCATGATCGTCACTCTTTAAAAGGGATGTGTAACGTTGTTTTGAGCATTTCTGACACTCGCAAATTTTACACAAAACTGAAAAAGAATGGCCGTATAAAAGCACAAAATAAAGCAATAACAAATACAAAAAGCTCGAACAGATGTACATATGGTCAATGAAATGGAACAAAAATGTAAAAGAGTTAACTCAGGTGGCAATGTGGCATAGCCGCACACTGTAGGTTTCGTTTAAATTTTGGTCAATTTGTATAGGAAAACGTCGACCTACACTTTGTGTGGAAGTTCAAATTTGCTTAGTATACGACTCGTTGCCCTACATCATAACTTAATCAATCAATTTACACAATGAGTATGATTGTGTTAAAATTTGCTGACAAGTGCACTTTTTGAATGTAAGACTTTTTTGTTACCATACTGACACTGCCTATTTAATGTACCTCCATTTAAATTATGCATTGCAGTGCCTTTTTTAACTATATATCTGTGGGGGCAATTGCCCCGCCAGGGAAAGAATTTGCCCCCCAGTAAAGCCATTTCTGCCCCCGAAGTGCGAAGCAGAATTGCTCATGATTGCTATCAGAATTGCAGTTGATTTACTTGATAATGAGATTATGCCCTTCCATAGCCTCCTCCACAACCATCTTGTGTGGAATTCATATTGTTCTTCACCGAGTATTTCATAATAGCGATAGATTTCATGCAAACAATCCGATAAAATGCTAGCCTTTCCAAGCCTTGCGACTATTTCCTATCACTCTCCTCCGCAGAGGCGTTGTGTTTTGTTAGGTTTTATTGCAAATTTTTTTTCTTAAAAATATCAAGTTATATTAAGAGCCGCCCCTCAATCGCCACAAAAACCATTCTCTCAGAAAGGCTAAATCCGTGGAGAAATTGGGGGGGGGGGGGGGGGGGGTACACGTTACATGCTCGAAGCTGAAACTGATTAAGTACGTACGTCTCGACTGAGGAAAAAGACGATATACTGGAGGAACTTGATTTGTGAAATCTCGTTAAAGCAGTTGTAGATATGGTTCCAAGAAGAATAGATTTAGTTTAGATTTTTAACTGTTAAATACATGTATGCATCATTTTAGCATGAATATTGTTTTTCAGACTTATTCTGTATCGTATAAAAGAGCAACGCAATTTTGAGAATGCGGAAATGGTGTCTCATAGAACCTAAAAAGAATTTATTCCAATTTATTTAATTCCGAGTAGAAATGTCTGGAAAAATTCATGTCTTCGATGTACTTTATAATCTTCGGAATTCTGCTAGATTTCACCCCCAAAATGCATGAAATCGCAATTCAGGGACCCTAGATTTCAAAATTTTCCGGATCCTCCTGGACGGTCTCACGCCTTTGGCGTGAGGTTCGCCCTCCCCCCCCCCTCCGCGAAATTAAGGTTTGGATACGCCACTGGTTATAGCTGTAGGATTAAGGCTACAAAGAGTTGAAGTTATTGTTTAAAGTAAAATATAGCTGAAGTTAATAAATTAAAGTTTTACAAAATTTCTCTTCAGACTCGCGCGTTCGCCAAACTTCGACGGCTCATATTTTTCGTTCGGCCCTTTTTCCTGTTTTGCCCCTCCCCCCAATGAAATTCCTTAAAAAAGGCACTGAATTGCATTGGTGCAGTACATTGGTTTCAATGTACCTCACTTGCTTCATTTAGAGTCCCGGAATATCGAAATATTTGCATGGTCATGCAGCAAGCATCAAATCAATATAAAGATCTCAACAATGGCAATTAGCCAATTATTCTTCTTGGATTTATTTCAAATGAATAACAAATGAAGTTATTATTAGCATAAGTTATTATTATATTACTTCAATTACAAAATGACAAGATCGAATTAAGGAATGTATTTCAGTGAGCACACCTAATTTTAACAATTTTTTATCACTGCACATTTTTGTGCAAAGTTTAGCCGAGCAGAAGCCAAGCCCTCAAAATTTGTGAACACACCCTTTTAATGATGTGTAACCAAAAGACAGACTGCATCTCAAGTCCCAGAAATGGACAAATCTTGCATTCTGGAAGTTTGTTGGCGGTTATACCTATATGTATATTTCAATGTAAAGCATTTTTGGGCCACCTTTAACTGGGGTCCAGCGCAAATTGCCCCCTCCATCTGGGCGCCCTGGACAGCACCTGCCGTTACGACTTTCTATGACAGCGTATGCTTTGCAAATAAGAGACGGCTTAGATGTGACAAACTGTAAAAGAATTCCAGGGGCATGCAGCCACAGAAAATTTTGTAATCTAGCATGTCTCAAAGGGCCTTTTTTCAATGTGCGGGGACATTCTATAGAATCCTGAAGATTATACACTAATATATTTACCAAAATTAAGCATCATTCACTCCAACATCCAAGCTCATAAAGAGATCTTTGATGGGAGACTTTGTTCATTTGATGAATCTTTAGTATAATATTAGTGCTGACGTTCGATAATTTGGCAGTTAATATTATTTCAATTTCATTCAAGTTATTCTCATTCAAATGTTTTGATTATTAATACTTTCTAGTGACAAGACATTTTTGTTCAGTTTTTAAAATTAACAATTTATCACAGCACTCAATTTTATCACTGCACATTTTACATTTTATAACTGCACATTTTACAGTTATCACTGCACAAATTGGTTATCACTGCACACTAAAATTAGGTATGTCAGTGAGATTGATTGACACACTTTCTCATATAAGTAGTTCCAACACTACTTGCCAATGTTTGACTAAATCAGGTGTTCTGGCATATGCTACTTTGACTAAACATTTGTTATAGAAACCCACTGCAATTTTTGTTTATCTTGAAAGACGTAATTTGATCATGCCATGCAAAAAGACGTAATGTTAAATATTGTACTGCATACATATTTACATGGGAGCATTATATATACTGTTATGATTCTGTTGTGTTACTTTGTTTAGTTGATATTTTCAGAATATTTTACACTAAAGAATAAAGTGTTTGTTGTTTGTATATATATTTGGTTTGCATGAACCACGTATCCAGATGTAATAAGCGGCAATGAGAAAGCGTTGGACGCTGATATATATATATATATATATATATATATATATATATATATATATATATATATATATATATATATATATATATACATCTGGAAAACCACGTAAGAACAAATTAAAAGTATTTTAAAAGAGACCAGGTTGTTTGAAAATCCTAAACGAATGCTAAAAATCATAGAATCAAAACATTCTGGTGTCTGAGCCAGAGTGTCATTGAATTGCGATGTAATGTAAACAGAAATTATAGCAAGCTGATGTCAGTCAGCTTAGATGGTCCAAGCCAAAATTATATTGCATTTGAAGTTTCAAACTGTGTTAAAAATAGTGGAAGAAAAGCCGTAATTATACTTATTGTTACAATCCATTTATTAAAATGCAACATTTTTTTGTTTTAATGAAAAATCAGTTATTTTCATGGGAACGATTTGTTATTCCATCTCAATTTTGTTAATCTCCAATCGCAATAACGTGAAGTATTATTACCCGCGAACCAATGAGTCAAATTTAAGAAACAACCGACTGTTAGAAAGCTGAATGGCTACGCTTTAAAATGAATGTAAACTTTAACGTTTTCGTCTATTATTTGTTTAGCAATTTACATTTCAGTCGAGGATTGCGCTTTTTTTTATACACCCTGTATATATATATAAAATAAGTGCAACGACTCAACAAATTCCACTAGGCATCTTTATTACTATTAGTTTCGTACCACAAGATGTGGAACTCATCAGATAAATTGGCCTTATGACTACAGCAAAAAACCTACAGTATTTATGTACACGTGGATGAAAGCTTTAAATTAATCCTATTTACAAAGCACGCAAAGCAATTATTTTGTTACTTGATAAAATTGACAGGACGCGCAAGTATTAACAACACATCAGCATAACGCCAAGCTATTAAGATTGCGCGGTATATTTAAAACAAAAATATGTCTGTCTCGAGTGTACGCCCTTTAAATGTTAGCTAAAAGAATTTTTTTCGCATGTCTGCATGAAGACACTAATTCATTACGTTTGTTCAAAGTAGCTAGTTCAGGTTTACATGTAAACAACGAAACCTAATTATATATATATATATATATATATATATATATATATATATATATATATATATATATATATATATATATATATATATATATATATATATATATATATATATATATATATATATATATATATATATATATATATATATATATAAATATATAATATATATATATATATATATATATATATATATATATATATATATATATATATATATATATATAGGTTAAGATTTTGGTTTACGAAACACAAACAGTGCTCAATACCATATAGATAGAGCATAATATAGTTTTTCGTTTTACCTCAAAAAACCACAACAGTGATGATTCCTATACGGATGAAACAGACTGTTGTGGTTTTTTGAGGTAAAACGAAAAATTATATATATATATATATATATATATATATATATATATATATATATATATATATATATATATATATATATATATATATATATATATATATATATATATATATATATATATATATATATATATATATATATATATATATAATCACCGCTATATTATCAACCTACTGGGCGAACTGCAATACTAATTTTCGTTTTCGATAAGGCCATTACCGGTATACCAGCCGATAATTTACATTAATTGTAGGTTTACTGACCATGGCTTAACCTGAGTATATTATGTTTTTATAGTTACCATGTGATAGCAGTTCCCTTACAAAAATTTCACATAACATTTCATATATGAAAATTTCATATATGAAATCGTTATATGGAATTGAAACAAATTTCATATATGAAATATTTCATATATGAAATTTTCATATATGAAATTGTTTCAATTCCACATAAAGATTTCATATATGAAATATTTCATATACGAAATTTTCATATATGAAATTGTTTCAATTCCACATAAAGATTTCACATATGAAATTGTTTCAATTCCACATATAGAGATTTCATATGTGAAATATTTCACATATGAAATTTTCATATATGAAATTGTTTCAATTCCACATAAAGATTTCATATATGAAATATTTCATATAATAAAATTTTCATATATGAAATTGTTTCAATTCCACATAAAGATTTCATATATCAAATATTTCATATATGAAATTTTCATATATAAAATTGTTTCAATTCCACATAAAGATTTCATATATCAAATATTTCATATATGAAATTTTCATATATGAAATTGTTTCAATTCCACATATAGAGATTTCGTATATGAAATATTTCACATGTGAAATTTTCATATATGAAATTGTTTCAATTCCACATAAAGATTTCATATATAAAATATTTCATATATGAAATTCCACATTAAGATTTCATGTATGAAATTCTCACATGTTTCAAATGTTCAAATATTAAGTTTTATGCATTGAAATCAAGCGAGTCAGGGGAAGTTTATGTGATCCCACCCGAGATTAAACAAAGCGAGCAATGGCTTTGAGGTATTGAAATAAGTCGTTATGAAACCAGACAAGCACATGCTAACAACAGACTAAATATAGATCAATGCAAAAAAATATATTCGCAAGAATTAGTGCTCAACAATTACATTTTGCCAATTTGTTGATTTTTCTACAGAACAAAATCCAAGCCACCTGGATCATGTTATTTTTCCTTATCATTAACAAACGACTTATTTCAATATCTCAAAATCATTGCATGCACGCTTCGTTTAATCTTGCGTAAGCGGGATCATATGAACTGCCCCTCAGAAAAATCTACCTAAATAAGAAATTTACGTGCTATGCAGGTTTGATGTACCACATCAGACACTAGTTTATTCGAAATATACAAATTACAAAATAATAAAAACTTAATTACAATATACATATATTTACTCTCGGTTACAAAAAAATCCCAAATTTTGTGTGATTTCGAGGAAATTATCCATTTGGGACATTTTTGATACATCCTGTATATGCATTACTCAGCTAAAAGCATGCAGAAATAAAAAATCAGGGGTGAGTTACCAGTAACACCATGCAGGGACAAGACCAAAGATTAAAATTAAGAAATGCATATAATATCATTACTAAAATATTAAAAACAAATACTGTATGTTTGTGTTCTCTTAACAGTTCTCCTGCTTCTCCAGTTCACATTGAATCTTTTTCTTGCATTCTTAGTTAATTTCGAAAAATTCTTGGGCCTATCCACCTCAGTTAAGGCATTTGCTGTCAGCATGTACTATAATAAAAGAAATTATATGGTTTATAATACAGTAAAATTAATATACATTGTAAGATCTGAATTTTCTTCTTGCCAGTGACTGCAGTCAAGCCTGTACTGTTTCAGTCAGTCACTGTCCACATGTCATACGACTAAATCGTTAGACCAAGTACAATAATACTTAAAGCAGGGCGCATTGGCACAATGCAACTGAATGTATTAACTAGATTATTAGACATATGGGCAGAAAGGCCAGTTAAGTTACTGTACCGGTACATATTAAATGCCAGAGCTCTCCCCTTGATGAGTAAATTGTCTGGCAGTAGACAGAGTAAAATAATAAAGTAGGAGCATCAGGATGCAATCTGTTAACTTATATCACAAAGAAAATATCAGTAAACTTACATACTTGCCTGTCTTGTTTTGGTGGGTCAGCCGGTCTCCTTGCTTGCTAGTCTTGTTTTGGTGGGTCTGCCGGTCTCCCAGTACATGTGAAAAGGAAGCCATTATACATCTGAGGGTTAACTATAAAAGGGTACAAATGGTGCATGTATTAAATAAGTATGTTGAATACGAATATACTGTACAGTCATACCAACACTCTCCCCTTAACAAGTAAAGTCGTTTGGCATTTCAAGAAAAAGAAACATAACAAATAACTAGGGATGCAATGGATATCACATCTGGCCAGATATTGAGATTTTACTTCATTTTCTGTTACATGGCCACCCAATACTGGGTATTATTTACATAAGGTTCAGGCCTTCAAGACTTACAGTTGCTGCAGGTTAGATGGTTTGATTAGGTTAGACGATTTGATCAGGTTAAAAAAGCAGGGGTGGTTATCATATTTTTATTCAATGATTGATAACAGGAATGCTTGTAAACACTATTTTCAAGATTTTATATGTTTGTTTGTAAATGCAGATTTGACCTTTGAACTAATACAAGTGAGGCTTTTGCTACCAATGATGCATGTTTACTAGTGTTAGACTGTGAAGTTCTTTCCTATTATTTCAAATCAAAATTTTATAAACACCATCACTTTTTAACCAATTAAAATGATTACTTAAATTAACCTTAAATGAGGCCTGACTGAACCTTATATATTTGAATAATACCCTGAATCTGCCTCTGGACAGGGATATTTTTCAACTATCCAACATATCCTCAACTATCCAACATATCTGGCTGGAGAGCAAAAAGACTCTACCCTCCACACCCCTACAAAGAACTTAAAGTATGTAACATAAGAAGAAATTGCTCCTTAGGTGTTAATAGGTGAAATATGGGCAAGTAGTCCACAGTCGATAATCAAAATTATCTAGCATGACATGTCAGAGTTGAAAATTATATCAAAGTTAAGTACCGTACTTAAAGTAGGTAGTGTTAGGGAAAATTGTATCTAAATATATCAACATGAAACATGGGCAGAGTCTAGCTAGACACTCCCTTGACAAATAAAATTGTCCGGCATTAGGCAAGATAACATTTAACAAAGTGCTGAAAATTGGGCTCATTGGAGTGAATCAGTGAAATGGGTAATAATTCCAAAAACCATCAAATCCTTGCCGAGATGTATATCTCAAATATATGTAGCCCAAAGGTTGTTACATATATTATTAAACAGATCATCTGATCATGCAGGTGGCATAAATAAATGTTATTTGCTGTGTTGGTGTAATGTACTCAGGTGAATAAGATGCTTGTGTTATCTTACTCTGATTGTATATCTTCACCAAGCAGGCTTGGAAAATATACCTGGCCACAGTGGGATTCGAACCTACGACCTTTGGAGTACTAGCCCAATGCTCTGCCAACTGAGCTATGCGGTCAGGTCGGTTCAAGTATGCTATATTTCGGAACTGAGTCTAGTTCCTTCCAATACTGTAATGTACTCAGGTGAATAAGATGCTTACAAGTGTGATGTTACTCTGAGTGTATATATGTATATACACCACCTGGCCACGGTGAAAAATATGCCTACCCAGTGTGGATATACACTCGGAGTAACATCACACAAGCATATAAAATTAAATGAATTCATATAAAGTTTGAAAGTTGCCACACAACCCATCAAATTGACAACATTTATCTAAACTAACCCACCTATATATAAATATTAATAGAAACTTATGAAAGTACCAGTTAATTGAAAACAAATCGCCAAGCTATATTATTTTATACAAGGAACACTTGATCTGGCAATCCGTCATATACACAACTAGTGAATTTGGCATTACAACAAACATAATTTGATATAGAGACTGAGTCAAATGTAAGCCTTGGTATAAAAACTAATGTATTTATATTGTCGCAGCGAATTCAAATTTTAAGACGGAACACATCACACATGCTCAAAATTCAAGAATGAAGATAGTAAATATTTCCTTTCAAAATTGCTCTGTTATATAGAAAACAAAACAATAATCTTACCTTGAAGTTACTCAGCCATCCCTGATGTTCCATCTTCGCTAAAATATACCATCTTCCAGTAAAATACTATAAATCTTTCGATCGAGCAGATGAAAATTCACTGTATTTCAAAAATATGGCGGTGTCACAGTGATACGAACATCCCCGTGTTTTGTGTATCCCCACACTAATATCCCTAGGGATAAAATTACCCCCGGTGGGGATAACTACAACACTAGAAGCGAAAGGATGCAATATTCAAAATATGAGCAGGAGGAAAGTCATTTATCGGTGCCTTTATTTTCCGGTAAGTATTTGCGTTTTTACAGTAATGCTGCAGTAAATGTGTATATAAATGTGATTGTGCTTTTATGTTGTAAGATAGCATGTTCGCGTCGCATAAATTGGTGTAGAACATAGTGTAGAATTAATTTTTACAGTTAGTCATTCAGAAGTTGTGACAATATTGCTTAATCACATATAAAAAGCTTATACTGTATAACCGTGCTGGAATCATGGCTGTGGTATAACACAAAAAGGAACAATATCCGTATGTTTATTGACATAGTATAAAAAAAGCATAGTATTTTGAACAGTTAACAGTAACCTACCGTAAACCTCCGACTATAAGCCCTTATATACTTTCGTAAGCGATTTTTGATGGGCTTATACAAGGGCTTATACAGACATAAACAAGTCAGCCATAAACAGGAAAATAAACATGTATTAAGCAGCGATTACTGCGCTTATATTAATTCGGGGGGGCTTATAGTCAGAGGTTTTTTGTTGTTGTTTTTTTGGGTTTTTTTTCGCCCAATTACATAACAATAAGAAGTAGCATATTCTTAAACCTAAAGTCTAATTACTCTTAACATTAATATTAATCCTAATGCACAGTAGTACGATTGTACTTGTTATTTCCTGACACTGCATTCTTGACTGCACTTCCAATTCATATCTTTTCTTTTAAAGACCATCTTTGGGACGTTAAGACACTTCCTGTGGTACCACTTGTGACAACCGGAACACTCTACCATATCATCTTCTTGCTTGACATATGGAAGGCGACACTTACAGTAGATTGGAAGAAGAAATGTGTTGGAAGGCTGTACATTAGACAACCGTTGGAGAGATGGAAACATATCTATGTGGCCATTAGTAAAGCAATTCCACAAGTAACTCCGAATATTACGTATTTGGAAAATCATTTTGCTGGGATCTTGCCCATGACACAGAGCAGCAGCAAAAGCAATGGCAAATATACCACAATCAGACCCGTTCATTTGCTGTGTGACTGGTTCAACCATGATTTTAATACTATCAGCAGACTCGATGTATAGAATACTGGCAATTTGCGTCTTGGTGAATGTATTAACTCCCAAATGCATGCTGTCATAGATCTTAATGGCATTCATTTCATTACAATAAATGTTACTGATACAGATCCAATGCTTTGCACCTGTGTGAAGAATTTGTACAAAGTTGCCTTTCATAACATCAAACTGTTGAAGTGGGCAAAGAGTTGTTGCTTGGAGACCTTGAACATTTGGAAATTGCTGCTTTAGTAGGCGTTGTGCTTTCCCAATTTGAACATCTGTTAGCCAGCGATTCTTCATAATTATATCTTCATCCTCTTTGGTTGCTTGTACTGGATAGTTTGGTTTCTTCATCTTGTTTGTGGAACTAGCATTTGACTTTTTTTCTTTGACAATCATACACTCATCTTCTTTAAAATGGGTTAGATGGATAGGATCTGGTTTGGATTTCTTTGCTGGTATCTTTCTCTTGGTTGACTTTGTCCTTTTTCTTGCTCTCTTTTCCAAGATCTTTTCAAAGCACTCTTGTACAAGATATTTTCCTCCATGTGCCAGATAATACTCAGCTTCACAATGCGAAATCTCAAAAAATGACTTGCTGAGGATTATAAGGGCTTCAGGCAAGATAACATTTGTAAGGAAATCTACTCCAGCATCAGGAAACCATTTTTTTAGTTCATTGACGATGAGGAGTAAATGATCTTCGGTAAATGCACCAGAGTGTACATTTACACTTAGGTCTTTCTTTTTTATGCCTGGTGCATCCTTGCTGTAACCAGAGTGGAAAACCTCAGATCTCCAGCATTTTTTGTTGCTTTGTAATTTGCTAAGCACCTCGTCCTTAATGGTTAACAGTTGTGGTAAAATGTCTTGCTCTTTCATATTTAGAATTCTTTTATCAAATTCTTCACAGGCTTTTGAGCTTAAACCATCTGCAGGAGGCTCATCCTCAAAGGGTAGTGTTGGTGTTTCGTCCCTAGCTAATTTCTCTCCTTGAATTGCAGTTCCACTGTTTTGTTGTTTTTCGAGGTAGGGCAATGATTCTGGAGGACTGTTGTCTTCAAGTGAGGTGACATAACTATCATTCCCGTTTGACGAAAAGTGTGGCATTGCTGTTGACTGATTGGTTTCTGACTGCTTGACATTTGGCTGCACGCTATCAGGTTTTGTCCCATCAGATTACATTTCATGAATTTGGTTTGCATTTGGTTTCCCCCTTTGTGACTGCATCTCTTCAAGTGTCTTCGTGTCTGATTCATTTCCTCCTAAATCCTTTCTTTTTAAATCTTTTTCATCCGACGACATTCCTTCTGACAAAGTACCTTGTGATTGTTGTGTAGCTGAATTTAATTGCTGATGCTTATCTGTAGTATTTTCCTGTTTATATGGTCTTAAGTTTTTGATTGACTGTTGTTTCACTTGCTTTTTTGTCGAAGGGTTTAAAAGCTTGCATACTCCCCTGTCAGCTATTACCTCTGAAACTTCATATGGACCAAGCCATTGATCTTCAAGTTTGTGCCCTTTTTTTGTTTTTTGCAACATGTTACGAAGCAATACAGCATCTCCAGCTTTAAATTGGCATACAGGTTGACCCTTCTTGTTTTGATATTGTATTTTTTGTTTTTCTTGCGCTTTTTGTATGTTTGAATCAACAATAGGGAACAGGGCATCCTTCATGCGAGATGTCTCCTCAACATCTTCTCTGATTACTACCTCACTACTCAAGTCCTGCATCAGTTGTGCAATATCATCTGAACCGGTGGGGGTTATTGCACCTTTTTCTGCTTCAAAGGGGAATCTCGGATTTCTTCCAAACATCATGTAAAATGGACTGTATTTTGTTGTGGTCGATTGATTTGTATTTATTGCAAAGAGAGCACCTTCAATATACTCATCCCATCGATCTTCCTTGTCTTTCATTACTTTCTTGAGAGTCCTAAAAAAATAGTTGATTTTGTATATCAAACAACTATATTTTGGGATTTTATATCAGATAATTTTAGTCATATCACTATAGGTGTACAATATTTTAATAAGTCTTATTAACTTGGGCTGCTGTGGCAACCGTATTTCTAGATTAAATAAAAAATTGCAGGGGTTATTGTCACCATCTTGAATGCCCCTCTGTCTAATTACCGTTTAATGGTCTGGTTCGTCCTTTCATCCAACCCGTTTGATTGTGGGTGATATGCAGATGTAATTCGGTGCTTTATTCCAAACAGAGAAAATAGGGCCTCACTTACCTGAAAAGAAAAAAAGATTTGTCACACTTAACCAATCCTCTGCCATCCATTTTTTTAGAAATTGTTCCGAAATAAAATTGCATGTTATAATAAGACAGGAAGTATATGTCAGAGATAAAAGTATCACATGGTTCATGAAATTATGTCCTTTGGAATTTCTCTTCAGTTTTGAAAGAATTACAAATTTGGACCCTACATCTCCCCCCTGCATATATCCAAAATAATTAATTGAGAACATTGTCATGACAATATTAATATGTATTAAAGAAAAATTCTTTTGCTGATATACTGAAAGCATGAAAATCCAGGTACCTGGTTGACAAATTCCCTCCCTTGGTCTGAAATAATGTGTGCTGGAGAACCATGCCGGCAGAAGGTTGAGTATAGAGCTCTTGCCACACTGTTTGCACTTTTATCTGGTATTGGACATCCCTCCACATACTTTGTGAAGTAGTCTGTCATTGTCAAGATAAATTTTTTTCCTTTTTTTGAAATATTATGAGCATCAATCAGATCAATACCAATCAGGTACCACACACGTGGAGGCACTTTTACTGGATGAAGAACATCATATGTGTTGTTGTCTGGTGCATTGCGCTGACATCGATCACAGCGTTTTATCTATAGATGAATACATGTAATTGTAAACATGCAAATTTTTAAATATTAATGTTGATTATAATTTATCTTTATAATATTAGTAGAATCATACTCCATTACAAATGCTCTGTAATACTAATAGGCTGGTAATTTACACATATGTCAACATTTTGATCCTTGGTTGTTGTAGCAGCTTTCAGCTAGATTGAGCAATAACAGGAACTTTTATTAAGCCCAACTGGCGTTTTTATTGTTATTAAATAAAGAATAATGCTGCTGTTTCTATGTATAATGTACTCACCATTTCAACTGTTTTCTTATAGTAATCTGGCCAACAATAGCGCATTCGAATCTTGTTTATCGTATTATCCCTTCCACAGTGACCTGCAAAAGGGGCAGAATGACATTCTTCGAAAATTTTCTGTCTCTCATCTTCTCGAATGACAAGTCTTCTATTTAATGTCCCTTCTTTTGTTTTATCGAGATAAAACAAGTTTGAATTGGCGTCAACTTCAAATTTTTTCGCAAATCTGCGCAATATCGCTTTTTCTTGCTTTGTAAAATTCGACGGATACACTTGGTTTTTCACATATCCCAGTAGATTACCATATTTAATTGCATCCATTGTGAATAAATGAATAAATGAAATTTCCCGCCAATTTTGTTTCCAGCGAAATGTTAGGGATACTTGTATCCCTAGTGATGTGGGAATGTAGGGTGGTTCTTTAGGGATACGCAGAACACGACCGCCATATTGCCGGGGATACACATATCCCTAGTGAGGTGAGCATGGGGATACACAAATCCCTAGTGATATTAGTAGGGGATACACAAAAGACGGGGATACTCATATCACTGTGACAGCGGTGTGATTGAATGATGCTATCCCAGGAAGCTTTGCGCGTGTTGTTGGAAAACTAGGCACCAGTCTGTCAACCGTCAAAAAGCGCTCATCATGAGAATTTTCGTTTCAAAATGGTCTTTTTGTATAACAAAAATCAGGGCCGTAGGAAGCTCTTTTCGATTGGGGGGCTGAAAGCGAGGGCCGAAGGCCCGAGGAAATTTTTAAATTTAGAGTCTCTAAAATGCCATTTCCTGGACTTTGGGGGAAGATTTCACAGAATTCTGATAGTCAGAAAACAGCGTTTTAGCATGTCGAAATTTACAGGAAAGTATGGGCCAGACTGTAGTATTATAAATGCGCGGCGGAAATTTTCGTCGTAAATGGCAGTTGCGCGGAAATGAAGGCAGAACATTTGAGAAAATTTCGAAAATCTGGAGTCTCTAGATGGTCTGAAATGGCATTTTCAGAATTTTCTTTCGCAAGACCCAACACGCAAAGACAAAATAAATCATTAGTCAGTCATCAAAAATGTGCAGATTTTGTGGGATTTTCTTGAAAATGCGCGACAGAAATTCAGCTAAAATTTGTACGCGAGGAACGATCTGGAGTATGAGTAATATCTTCATTCTTTGCAGTTTGTCACAGATTAAATGATAAAGTTTGCATGATTTTGAAAAAAGAATGATTATTAGCAAATTATTGGGGCTGCGGCCCCATTGTTGCTCTACCTGAAAAATACCTACCTCCACAAACTATAATATAGTTCCCATGAAGAATTTAAAATTAACTCAATCCCTCAATCAAAACGTTGGTATCGAAATTGAGGAGACCGGACTCAGGCCTGGAACACTTGGGGGCCAAACTTGCGGGCAGGGGGGCCTGGCATGCTGGAATTGCGAAATTTGTAAAATTAAGGATTTGTTCGGTGAATTATGGAATTTTCTGGGAAATTTAGGTCGAAAATTAGTGTTGCGAAAAATTTTGGGAACTTTCGTTTTCGGAAACATAACGTCGCCCCCCCCCCCCCCACTCGCGACCGTTTTCCGGAAAAGAAAATGTTTTTGAGGGGCCCCTGCTAGGGTATGGAGGCCCAAATTCTTTAATCCCCCCCAATCATATACCGGTTGGCACGGCCCTGTCAGTTTATACTATAATAATTAGACAGTATAGTCTTTTAAATATAAAATGCTTGAAGAGTTAAGTTCAAGATACTTGAAGAAGGAATATCTTCAAACAACTGCCAACATTTCACATGTTGTTTTTATTCTCCTGTAACATAACGGTTGTAAATGTAGTTTCAAGTCGAGTTGCAAATCTATTTATTTGATTTTTTGCAAATCTATTTATTTTTAATTAAGAGGTGTAGAAACTGCCCTCTTTCCAAAGAGACGGAATTGACCCCTAGGAGTAAAAAAGGTCAAATCTACTCTTTTGAATTTACAGTGTAGGCCAGTTCCAATTACAATTCACTATAACATGAATTACGTGTATGAAATTACTTTAATTGTCATATGTGAAATATATGACGTGATTTTCATATATGAAAATTCACATATGAAATTACCAAAATTCACATATGAAATGGATTTCATACATGAAATTTCTTTTTTCATATGTAAATTGTATAACTTCATATATGACTTGATTTTCACGTTTGAAAATTCTTATACGAAATTAGCTACCAAATTTCACATGTGTAATGGATTTCATATATGAAATTTAGTTTTCCATATGTGAATTGTATAACTTCATATATAACTTGATTTTCATATATGAAGATTCTTATATGAAATTACCAAATTTCACATGTGCAATGGATTTCATATATAAAATTTATTTTTTCATATGTGAATTGTATAACTTCATATACGACTTGATTTTCATATATGAAAATTCTTATATGAAATTACCAACTTTCACATGTGAAATGGATTTCATATATGAAATTTCTTTTTTTCATATGTGAATTGTATAACTTCATATATAACTTGATTTTCATATATGAAAATTCTTAAATGAAATTACCAAATTTCATGTGAAATGGATCTCATATATAAAATTTAGTTTTTCATATGTGAATTGTATAACTTCATATATGACTTGATTTTCAATATGGAAATTCTTATATGAAATTACCAAATTTCACATGTGAAATGGATTCTATATGATCAATTAATAATTTCATATATGACCTGCTTTTCATATATGGAAATTTAATATGTGAAAAAGAGAATTTCACATATGAAACTGAAATTTCATATATGAAATTACCTTTTCACATGTGAAATTCTAATTTCATATATGAAAATCTTCATTTCATATATGAAAATCTTTATTTCGTATATGAAATTCTAATTTCATATATGAATTTTAATGTGAAATTTTTGTAAGGGTCACGTCACCTTGGTTAACAACCTCGTACCCAGGGCTAGTCGCGAATTGAAGGCGGCGACGTAGCCCTGGTAAACGCTGGTCACGTGACTCCAACATTACGTAATTGTTACTTTTCTCAACCGGGGGGTGAACAGGTGAAACTCGAAGACAAACAGTTTTTATCTCCGAAATTCTTCAATCTTTCCTGTGAATTTTGCATTTCAAGCTTTTCTCAAAGTACGGCGATCGATCAAATGGATCAATACTTTCTGTAGAAAAAACTCAGTGAGATTTGTTCCAATGAGACGTTTAAAAGACTTGGATATGTCGCTAAAGACGCTCGATCATTGCACAGGTTTATGGTTTAGTACTTTGTTCAGTTTGTTGCGACTTGCGAAGCAAATGAATGCAAATTCAACTCTTGTATAATGACTATAAGTTGGTTTGTAGAGGGACAACTTATACAAAATATATGAATACATTAGCTTCAAACTAGGGACAAGTTCATGGACATCCCTAATATATGGACATTGATATTTCACCAATATGTAAATATGACTATTAAATATATAAAAGGATTGCTGTTGTATTACTTGTATATGTATATGTACAAGTGTTGTGCTGTGGTATTTACGTTTTTAACCCTTTAAGTGGCAATGGGCCATCCATTTAATATACACCCCCTCCTCCCATGGACTAGAATTTCTGAGGGGGTTGAAAAAGCCATTTCTAGGGGTTGTGTGCATCCGTAACCTTTGATCTTTGCATTTTTTTCTGAGGGATAAGGCAAAAATTTCTTAATTTCTTGGGGGTGTTGGTGTCGGCACTTTGATATTTTTTCTTAGGGGGGGATGTACATCGTCCATAGGTGGTGTGTACATTAAATGGAATGGCCCAAAGCACCCAGATGCGCCCTACTTTGTTAGTTTACTCTGTCTAACATCAGACAATTTTACTCATCAGGTGGAGAGTGCATGGCGCCACTCAATGGGTTAACATAGTCGATGAACATGCCAAATGATCCTTGACCGTGGTAGTACATTTTTGCACTTGCTAGATGATATTGCAACCAAGCATTGTTTCAGAGGAAGAGCCCTGAGATCATGCTGTGTAGCAATTGGAATCTCGCATAGAGCCTGCTCTCACATAAAGCAGGCAAGACCTTCACTCAGAAGCTAGTCCTGATTAATATTAATTCCCAACATAAACACTTGGAAACCAGACTGTCCCATCTGCCACATGCAGGACAAAAAACATGCAACCTGGACTTTAACTGTTAAACAACTAAATCAGCATGATAAACAGTGTGATGATTTTTGCTTAGCCCAAACCAAAGCCAGTTTTCTAGAATCAATTTGCAGAATCCTAAGAATTGGACCGCCAACTTGAAGAGCTAGCTGTGCTAACCAAGTTGCATGGGCAACCCTGAATTGACGTGACTAGAGCAAATCTTCAAAAAATAATAGAGAGATCAGATTTGACTTCCACTGCTGCTATTGCTATCATTAAAGTTCTAACCAGATAAATTTCATTTATCCAATCAAACAATCGGATGCAACTGCCAGATCAAGTAGTGGTAGTGGAAGTCAAATTTGAACCTTTCTATATGGATTTCAGAGAGACCAGTCATTATTTGCTGATATATTATTATAACTTGTTTAATCAAAAGCTACTATATATTCATTTATGATATTAAAAATTGATATAATTTTATCTAAGTGAGAATAATTTTAAAAAAATATCCATAACATAAAATGATTCATGCATGCTGGTGATTGAATAAACCATGGAGTGTGCATTCTGAATCTCTACAAGTTCCTTGACATTATTTTTCCAGTACAGTGTAAAACTATATATATATAAATGTGACACAGGTTGCAGGTATTAGGTTGCATGTCCACCAGTGTGCTGAAATACCATCCAGTGACCCGGTCTGGTTCATTGTTACTTGCATCTTGCTTAATTCAACTGTATTTCTTGTACCCATAAAGTTCTTTTCAATAATCTAGAAAACTTCAAAATCATTCAGTAAATTTAATTTTAAAATTGGGTGAAAGGTAAGGGGTCAATAATAGATGAAGAAATCATTTCTTATTGTTCATACATATGGCCCCCATCTCTGTCAGGTATTAGAGTAGAAATTTATTGAAGCCTGAAGTCAGAAAATAAATATGGCAACATGGTTACACGCCATACTGCAGAGTTAGGCAATTTTTTTAAAGATCTCAAGGGCACAAAAGGTATAAATATAGATTGTAGGGGCAAGGGAACAAAATAATGAAATTTTGAGATTCAGAGGCAGGTTTTACAATGGGGTGCTAAAACTTTTCCCTAAAAAATCCCTGACCAGCTGGAGTGCTGAAACTGATGTTTGACTATTGAAATATCCTAGCAGGTTAGGTTCATCAGATTTTAGCTTTGTCAACCTGGCCACTCTGTTATTACAGTAATGGCTCATTTAAATAATTTCAGGTCATTA